TAATGACTACAGAAAATGTTCACAGAAATCAACATAATGGATCCATGATAATTAATCATACATTAATTTAATTATCTAGTTTTTCATTAACTTTCAAAGTTTTACAGGTTTTTACAAATGATGCATAAACAAACACAGTACTCTATCTATTCATTTTTTTTTTTTTTCAAATCCAGCATCTAAAAAATGAATGCAATTAGCAAAATAAACGTTTTTCAAAATATTAATAGTTTGAAAATGCTATAATTTTTTTTTTTTTTTAAAATTTCAGTAATGCAAAAATAAGTATTACAAATTAGATTCAAATGCTGAGAGCAAAATTGGCACAATCAAGTTTTATGGGAGCAGTAACTACTGATGTGGCAAGTGAATTTAATGTTTAATATATATGCCACACTAAATAACTCATATATATATATATATATATATATATATATATATATATATATATATGTCTTATCATAATGACGTAAACATTTACTTAACACTTCCCTTCCAACTGTCAGATGAAACGATGAAATGAAACTTTCTACGTCATTTCCTTTCAGGAGTATTCATCTCTCTTCGTTATTACCAGTTATATTAAAAATGAAAATAATTAAAAGTCTGTTCCAGAATTTCTTCCATATGATCCCTATTTTAATATTAATCCCTCTTTTCTTTTACTTTGAGCATGTTTTAGAGGCTTATTTAAAGATTATTTAATTCTAAAACAGACAGCCTCTTTTATACCTGAGAATGGACAGCTTCATAATGGCACCAACACCAGTTGGTCGCTATTTGGAAAAACAATCTTCTTAAAAGTGTTCCTACGAAAAGATTTTTCTACGCTTATAAAGATCAATGTCTAACTTGTAGAAAGGGTACTTTTCCGTTTTGCCGGCACGAATCTCACCAAGCAGACTTTAGTGGCGACAACACACAGTATACACATAAAAAAAATGTTAACACATGTTAGTTCTAAGAAATTTTTATTTTGAAGGCATAAACATTTTAATATCATTTAAAATTTTGTAAAAAGACCATAAATAAAGACAATAAATTTGTTAAAAAACATTAATTTAAGAATTTACTATGCTTTCACAGAACAATATCCTGATTCGCCATTTCATATCATGTGATCATAAGTGATCTCATCTCACATAAACTACGCTACAAAAATCTAATTTTCTCAGTGATTATCTACATTCATATCAAGTTAAATCTTAATTTGGAATACAAGTTTAAATGCAAAAAATGATTTCAATTCTGACGAATAGCTTACTCAGAAATTATATAAAACCGCAGTGCTTTACTTCACTAGTGCATTCGCATTAGAATTGATGAATTTAAACCTTGACTTTGCCTTTTCTATATTTTTGCCTTCGGGTGAGCAATGTGATTGCATTCTAATAAATTTAATTCCCGCGAATGGCCGTAGGGCATAAAATTGAACCTAGCTGGTAAAAATTCTATGTTATTGTATGCCAGTATAGAAAGACACAATCAATCTAAGAAATGGCTGCGACTTGTTTTGAAAATAAGGCATAAAAGGTTATCAGCGAGGATATTCCGTTTGGCATTTGTTGTACCATTTTTCGCGACTTTTATCACTTGCGCCGGCAAAATGGAAAAGTACCGTAAAAAGCAACCTACATAATAGTACTTAAAGAGTTTGCTACCTAGATAGCAAACTTTTGAATTCATTTGTTTTGCTATTCTTATTAAGAAAACAAATGAAAAATTTATGCAGCATCTTGAATAAAGGTGCACATGCAAGGAAGGTAGCATTTTCCATGTTAGATATTCATCTGTATAAGGATGCAAACCCCTTTATGTCAAACCCCTTTTATATTATTATGAAAATGTATCATAATAGTAATGAAATTGTGATTAGTTAACAATTTTAATGTATCATTTAGTGTATGTCAGTGTTCTCACCAGGCTGCAGTTAATTTCATTCTTTTTTCTTTTTTAACTTATGAGGCAAATATTAATAAAATATTAGCATTTTTTTATTTTACATAAGTATTTCTATGCAATTACAATTTTCATTAAAAATTTTCTAGATAGTGTTTAAAATATATATTTTATATAGATTTAAAAGTGTAGTTAAAATAATTTAACATTTTAGATCAAAATAAAAATTTTTAAATGAATACTTTCAGGCAGTTTTAATAACTAACATAATTGTCAAATTTTAGCTTGGAAAATTATACTTACATAAACCTGAAACAAAAGTATTCTGTAATAAATTGATTTCAAGTAGAAGAGGAAGCAAAGATTCTTACTCATTTACTTGCATTAATTTAATCATTTGATTATGGCAAATCATTTAAATGTTATCTACCAAAAAAGAAATGCCTTTGTGAAGAATTTTGTAAAGAAATTTAGCTTTTTTTAGCAGTTATGTTTGCCTAACAATTCGGAAACAAAGAATAACTATAGATATGGAATGAAATGTACAGTATTTTACTAGTTAAAATTTCATTTTTAAGATCCCAATTACCTTGACATAAATTTAAAGATTATACACTATAAGGGCACTTAAATACTGCACAGAAACCACAAGGATTAAATTATTTTCAGGAAAATTACCATTAATAGCAAAAAAGCAGAACAATTTTGAATTTTATAACTATACTGCAGACTGTTCGTCAAGGGTAGTATATATATTAAAAAAATCTTAACAATTAATCTATATTAATATTGCCTTTCTTTTTATAAGATGTTTTCTGTACTCTTCCTATTTAATATGAGTCATTCAAGAAAAAAAAAAAAGATTAAAATATTTAATTAAAAAATTATGAGTATTAAAGAAATGAAAACACAATAATATGCAAGCATGTGTTAGAACAAAAAACTTTTAGTTTATTAATTTGGTGCCTTACGCTATTAATGGTACAAAATGTAGAAAATAAATGTCAAACTATTCCTATTTTGTTAAATGCTTGCATTCTTGTATCAGTTCACAGAGAATAGATTTTTGTCACTGTGAAAGAAAATTTTCATATAAAAAATATTGAATGTGCATTTAATTTGATAATAAATAAAAGATCCTGATACATCCACTTCAAGTAAATTATTCAGCTTGCGAAGAAAGATTAAAAAAATCTGCCGCCATTATGAAATATTACTAATTCCTTTTACAAAATTTTACTTAGGTAAAGAAATCATGATCATTAAAAATGAATTTTTTTTTACTTACTTCCTTTGTATGTTAATATAAAAATCCGACATTAGCATATTTCCCAGTGACATTCATTTATTTGGAAACGAAGAAATCATGATAATTAAATTTTTTTTAACTTACTTCCTTTGTATGCTAATATAAAAATCCGACATTAATATATTCCCAGTGACATTCATCCATTTGGAAACGAAGAACATGCTGATTTACAAAAATCCCACTTTCATACCGGAAGTGAGAGTAGATGGCTTTATGTTTTGTGAATGGTTAATAAACAACATCAAACACTCACGTTTTCCCCTTTCATAATTAGATATGTTAAGGAAACCTCTAAATTAGTATCTTAAATAAAACTGATTTTTCATATTGTGTAAATTCATATTCAGAGACCCTCAATGATAAATTAATGAACAGTTTTTATATGAGGATTAGACATGTCTCTGCTCATGCTGAGTTGAAAATCATAAAGGTAGATAAATTAGCTCAAATTAAGCCACATAAATTTTGCCTTCATGTAATGGGAAGTGTTATACTGTCTGAAGCTCTTCAAATTAGGAATGTCCATAACTATTTCATAGGCAATATAATTATTTCCAGTTTGTTAAATATTTAATTTGCTTAAAAGTTAGTGATTGCAAAAAATTTAATCATTACTAATTTTTTAGCACACAATTAATGAAATATGATTTTTTGATAGTAACTGATGATAATTATTTGCATATTCTGTGCATCATAAATTAAAACAAAGTCTATGTCTCATATTAAAAATTCATATTGAAAATTGTTCTCATATTAAAAGCTATTAATCATTATACAAATTTTAGAAATCATTTAATAGTCGTAAAAGTAACAAATGAAAAGTACTGCAATACAGGTATTCCTTTGCATTACATTTAGATTTGTGTAATTTTTGCATGGGGAAAATATGATATAGCATCCACAGTATCTTCAGCTTATTTTATTCATATACTTTTCATAAAAACAATCTGCAGAAGATACCATACCTTTATTTCTCCAAAATTATCTGTATATTTTTGGAGGCATGCTGCCTGAGTATTGTGCAATATTCCTTAATTTATAATTTTGTTAAATTTGCCATGCCGAAATAATTTTCACATAAGTAATTTATAAGTTTTCAAATGTTCAGAATGCATTATTAATATGCTCATGAAATTTTATTACTTAAGAATCATAATCTGATAAATCATAGAAAAAATTTATTAAGCAAGAAATATTTTTCATTTTTAATTTATGCAAATAATGTTGCAAGTTTTCTATATGTGCTGAAATCTGTTCTTGAAAAAAAAAATAATGTTGAACAATATTTTTTGTAACAGTCTTCATAATAGTACTTGTCACTTAGTCTGTTAATTTCAGAAACCTGTTATAAACTATTTTTATGTATTTCTTTGCTTGTTGTATATAGCTGCAGACATCACTCATCAGTTTGTGTATGACCATTGTATATGATCTCAAACTTTAAAATTAAATATCTTGGTGAAATTTTATCATATAGGAGTCAAATGTGTTTTCTATCTAGAATGGGCATAAACTTTTCATAAATATATTTGTAAGGGATAGGAGACCGTGTAAATATTAGGTTTTGTAATTTTTGCAAAACCGATTTTTAAATATGACAAAACATAAATATATGCATCATTTAAAACAATTTTCTAACTAGAAGTATGTGTCTGTGACGAACAGTTTGTAAAAATGAAGCTCATGTAAGAACTTTCATTGACACTGTGTATATTGCTTCTAGATGTAAGAAGTTTATTTGAAATTTCTTTAAAGTGGAAAAAACTTAAAGCTAGACTGTTATGTTTTCCAGATGGACACAGTTATTCTATGGTGAAGGCACTGCTTCTTCACAAAGAATGAATAGTGAAGAAAGTTCTATAGATTCTGTTGAAATAGCCTTACATATGGACAAGGTTTGATATCTTTTTCTTCTTTTAATTTTCCATGCATAAGCTTTTTTAATGAGCTTTCTACTATTAAAGATACAAATCCTGAGTTGTAACTCATAGAATTTTTCAACTGTATAATGTGCTGCAAAATATTATTCCAAGCAACGGCATATCCTTTTATTTTCTCTTTTTGTTTCTAGGGCATTTGTTCATGGTTAAGAGCCATTTTCCTCATAAAGTAAGCACATTTTCTAGTCTAAAGTTATAAAAAGCTTTTCCATGTTCTTGAAATATGTCTGAAATATTTTGTATTTTGCAGAGATGATCAGATTTTGAAAAGGAATGGCCCAGATGCTATTCAGTATTTATCATTTCAAAGGCATATTATTGTCTTTTTAGCTATAATATGTGTTATATGTTTAACTGTAGTCCTGCCTGTAAATTATCAAGGAGATCTAGGTGAGTTATTTTCATTTTATATGTCTTATTTGTAGTATAATCAAGTGCTTTGTGAGGGGGAAAAAGTTATATAGTATAAGTTTCAGTGGGCTGTCTCTGAAGTACATGAGTAAATTATTGTTGATTGTGCTTTCGCATGTTAAATTCAGCATGAAACTAGGCTGTGGCTGTTTGTGCTGATATTATAATTATTTTAATTTCTGTACTGTTTTGACATTTTTATTGATGAATGTTTTGTCACTCTGAATGGTTCAGTATATATTTTGTTTGTTAAGCAAAAGCCTAAATTTCTAGACATAAAATAGAGATCAAAGCAGGGTGCTTGTGTATTAATGCAACCACCTTGTCGATTTTTTACAGTTGAAAGGTAAAAGCTGCTTATCGGATGCAAGTTGATGATTTTTGTGTCTTTTTTTTTTTTTAGAACAATTTCCAAACTATTAATACTTATTGTCAGTAAATATTATCAGCATATGTAAAGAAAACATACTTTAACAATTTAAAATACAAATTTGAATTATTAAATAAATATTACATAATACATTAAAAATAAAATACTTAATACTACTTAAAGTCTTTTTGTGATATTTTTGTATTCTTTTTCTCCCAAAGTACAGAGTGATCTGTATTTGCTTAAAAAAAAATCAGAAGATTATGAAGACATACCTTTGTGCAGCAACACTTGGCAACAACAGCTGTCTAGTAAACACATTTCCATGTTGTTCCCTTTAGAGATTTTTTAACAATATGTTGTATTCCTGCATAAATTTTACCACAGTTTCATCCATTGCTAGCAAATTCCCCAAGCTCATATTTGAAAACTAAATTTAAGGCCAAAAAAATCATGATTTGTTTATGAAAACCATTTTTAATTGGAACACAACCAAAAAGAACACATCTGAAAATGGCAGCCTTGCTTGACTGAAATGATTATTTTGAGCATGGTTGCTGGAATAATGGTTATGTATGGTTGCCAGAATCTGGTGCATTTTGAAAATTTGGCAATTTCTATTAAGGTGGTTGTGTTAACACATATTTACCAAAAGCAATTATAAAAAGTAAGTTTTGGAAATTAGAAAAAAATATTATAACCTTCTAAATTGCAAGAAATTTCATTTATTTTTATTTGTTCTGAATATCATCAGAATTTTTGTAGTTCTTTAAAATTTTTATACTGTAAAAATATTTCTGGTAATATCCTCATTAAAGGATTCTGTTTTTTCACACTATTTGTTATTTCACTGGCATTCAAATTTCTTACTCTGTTCACATTTTCCATTTATATTTATATGAAAAATTTGAATCTGATGATCTCATGTTTTATGTTTGACTGTCCTTTATTATTTTTTCATTTATTCAGCTTGATTACTGAAATAAAAGAACACAATCCATTCCTTTCATTAAATTACATTTCATATATTTATATTTCTTATTAACTGTCATATCTGACTAACTGAATAAATTATAAAATTTGACTTTAAATTAACTGTGTGAGCATAGAAGACCACATAACACTTATTATCATTGTGATTATAATAAATTCATCATTTGTTGATCACTGATGATATACAGTCAAAAGTCTTTAATCCGGACTTGTCGGGACTTTGGTGATTCCGGATTATAGATCATCAGTTTAAATCTGTTAAGATGGCATGCTATGGAACCGTAATGTATGAAATAAAGAACAATTATGATCTAAAGGGTATCAAAATTTACAAAAAAAAAAAAAAAAAAAAAAAAGCTTAATATTTATTTGTTTACTTTATTAAACATTTCTTTCAATGCGCGCATGCGTAAAGCATACATTACGCATAGTCCAAATTAGAAAATTGCAACCAGAAAACTATTTGATGTGTATTCGTGATATTTATGATGAGGAATTGATTTAAATCATATCATCGAGATGAAATACTACATTTAGTAAGGAATTATAAGCCAAATAAAATAAAAACATCTTCCCTGAAGATAAGGATAGTGCTGACAGATCAACTTCCAGTTCATTGCGTGCCGCGACGTCCCTCCCCCCTGCAGAGCAGTGTGAAATTGATAAAAAGATTTTGGAATTGTTAGAGAAACAAAGGATATGCCTTTATCCTTTTTTTGCAGCAATTCCACTTTTTGTTTGATGGACATCGAAACATGCTTTCACTTTGTAGATCCTTTGGCAGCTCCAGAATTGGAAATTCTTTTTGCACATAATTGAAAGTTCAAGCTTACTTTTATAAAATTGCTCTAACAGTCTGCAAAAAATAATAAGCTGGATCCTATTAGAAGATTAAGGAACAATGCAATCTGCAACATTAACTGAAATAGATAATTTAAGCTTAGCTTATACTGTCCGTTATACATTAAACACGCATACGTAAACATATTATGCGTGTGCATAAATGCATATGCGCTTGCATAAAGGTATTGTGCACATGCATAAATGCATTATGCGTTTATGCATGCGCAGAAAGTTTGTAGCTTTGAGGTTCAGATTATAGATCATTCCAGATTATGGACGTCCGGATTAAAGACTTTTGACTGTATATGGGAATAAAATTACCATTTAAATTTTATTTGTAATTGATTGAGTAAAACCAGTGAAGTTGAAAACAAAACTTTGTTGACACAGGAAATTGCTGCAAAATCCTTTGAAATGGCTATATTAAAAATATTTTATAGACTGTTAGTTATTTTGGTTCTAGAATTTTACTGTGATATCATTCTAATCAAATGAATAAAGCAATTGAAATACAAGCTTTTTGTCAGCATATTTATGTTTTATAATCTTTTTCTATATAATGTAAATGCAGTGTTGAATTTGAACGCCATTAAATACTGTAATTTCCTGAAGAAAGCCCGCATCAGTATAAACGCCGCACTTGAGAAAATGGCAGAAAAAAAAAATTATGCAGAAATGCTGCGATAGATTAAATCACGCGTGACATGGCTGTGGACCGTATAGACCCAAAATCTTGACCTATGTCCTCATATATGACAAATCAGTTAAGAAAAATGCATAGCATGAAACTAAAAAATAAATTAAAGGTAAGATAGTTTGAAAACATATTTACGTTCACAAATATACTTATATTTACCCACTAAAGAAGTCCATATTGGTCATACTCATACTATATTATAAAAAATGTTGCAACAACGAGATATTAAGTTTTGATGACAAAAGAAAATTTTAAATTTAACTTACAAAAGAATTACAGCAAACTGCACACCAAATGAAGCCATCACAATCTGATTCTTCACTATCTGAATTAAAAAGATTTAGTAAATCTTGATCTAAGTCTTCCATATCGTTACATTCATTCTCTTGGTTTACAGTCTCTTTATCTGAGGATATAATTTCAGCTTCTTTGAACGCTGCTATTATTGACGATGTTTTCACTGATCTCCACACACTTCCTACCCACTTTGCTACTTTTTCATAAGATGCTCTACACATTTTGCTGCTTTTGGTGTACGTATGCAATCTTTCGCTTATCCAACACTCCCACCACTTTCAGACTTCAGCTGTGTAGGATTTATTACCTGACAAATCTAACAATTAACAATTGTAAGATTTTTGTGAAACCACCAGGAATTATTGCTACGGTCATACACAGCTTTTGACATCTGGTTTTCAATGACTCAAGTAAATGAGCATGCATGGGATCCACTATCAATAACCTTTTTGGTTGGAAAAAAGAACCCTTACGACACTGCCAGACTTTTTGTAGCCTCTCATTCATGATTGTTTCACACATCCATTAATTCTCATTTGCGCAAATAATTATGTCATTAGGAAAATCTCCCTTCGGATTAGTTTTTCTTTTAAAAATGATCATTGGCTTTAGCTTGTCACCGTTTGCAGCACAAGCTAACGCACATGTAAATGACGTTCTTTCATGCCCGTCCTAAGCACAGATACAGTTTTTGCACCAGTTTCATCAATAGTTCTGTTTTCAGAAGAGTCAAAAGCTAACGGCGTTTCATCCATATTTATTATCTGTGATGGAAAAAGTTTTTTTGGGGGGTCAATAATATGTGTCACATATTTTAGAAAAGATGCCTTTGAAATCATTTATGTTCATTTGTTTTACCATAAATTTTGCTTGTAAGCGAATTTTTACAGTCGAAATTGCCATTTTCTTTCCTCATTGCTCCTTTATCCAGTTTGCAAGATCGTCCTCTAGTTTCAGCCACCTTACAGTACCACTTCCTTTGGCTCTTTTCTGTTGTGGCATATTTTTATGTTCTTTTTCAGTTCTCCAACACTGAATGCATCTCTCGTCCACTTCAAACTCTCTGACTGATTCTCTATTTCCAATTTGTTCAGCACATGAAATTACATTAAGCTTAAAACCAGCAGTATAGCTTCTGTGCTGTTTAGGTGACATTTTAAAACATCTGCTCCCTTCTTACTTAAAAACTATCCAACAAGTACTTGAACCCAAACTGAGGGGATCTGTATCTGGCAGAATGCCAAAAAAATCGATTCATGATGAAGGGAAAATACTTCAGAATTCGTTATTGCAACGCAGGTGGTGTTCGCCTTTGAAAAAAATTGCAATAGATTTACAATGGAAAAGGCAGGGATGGGGAGAGGATGTGTTTTGGAAGATTCATCGAATGGCAGAGAAGAGAAACTAATGAGAATGCTGATTTGAAAGACAGAAGAATGTTATTGTTTTGAGATCCCGTTTAGGGTGAATATGGCACATAGGTCCGTTAAAGGGAAAGAATGTAAACAAAATAAAATTCTCAGAAAGCAACTGAGTGATCTTTTGTGTGGGAACAACAGTACCAATCTATGTGCAATGACAAGTTCATTCAAACTATGTACAATAACAAGGTCATTTAAAACTATGCACAATGACATCATAGGAAATATGTTTTTAGTGCACCTAAGCGCTGCATAGGTAGAAACGGTGCACTCGCTGAAAATTTAAGTTTTAAAAACGTAAATACTGCAGCGTTTCTTCCGGAAATTACAATAGTTAATTTTCCTAGTTTTAAATTAAATTTTATTTTAGTTATTTATTTACTCAGTGATTTATCTTTGTTATAGTTGATGAAGATAGTAGATTTGCTCGGACAACATTAAGTAATCTGGATCCTGCGTAAGTATTGAAAATTGTACAAGATTTTTTGTGACTGTTATTAGTTTTTTCCTCCTTTGAAATTTGTGTGTTGATACCAGTCTATGTGTAATGATAAAATTGCATTATACATAATGTAGAATTTAATTATCTGCTCAAAATTATACAATTATACTTCTGAATATTTAGATATTTGTCTAGGCATGTCTGGCCTCCATATGTGTAATGAGCCATGACTTCAAAAGGTAACAATATAGTCATCTAGGACTAGAACACTCCATTCCTGGACTGGCTTCTATTGCAATTTGCAATACTAATCGAGAATTGAGAGTGATCCTTTCAGAGCCTAAAGTCATGATAACCTGGTGTTACTCCTCGATGGGGAGAGCTTGGGTTTAACAGAAGAAATAGGCACCTCAATGCCTGTGAGCAAAATCATAGGGAAAAGTCTGTTGTTGTCTCCATTCGGCGATGAGAGCTATCATCTGGTGTGCTGGAAGCTGAATATGTAGTTGGGTTAGCAATTATTGATCGAATGTGGGAATACGACCTGTCAGAATGATCAGAAAAATATGATTGAGATTCTGCAGTAGTCCCAGATGCAGTTCGAGCTAATTTTAAGTCTTGAAATTAATATTCTGCCTTTCTTTGCTGACATCTGGCGAGGTGTGGTCTTGATGAGGTGGATGGGGTCAGCCATTCAGAGGCGATCAGGGTGGAGAGGTCGTTGTTGGTCGCTCCAATTTTTGAAATTAAATAATAAGACAGTTTTCTTAAAATATAGGTGTATTGCATATTAGAATCTTCAGAAAATTACGATCTGTGATACCGTGTAGTCAGAAATATGATATAGACAATTCCATAGCAATTATTATTAGAGGTGATTGTGCTTAGTCCATTGTGCTGTTGTGATTGGTCTGTACAGGAATGCTATACAAATATGTACCTTCAATTTTAAGGTCATGACGGAGGTTTTCGTTCTTGATGTAAAATGGTGCATTTGTAATGATACGTAGAAATTTGTTTTTGAGAACTTGGAGTTTCCCTATTTCACAATCTTTTGCAGTAGCGTAGACTGGAGCTGCGTATGTCAGGATGGGTCTGATGATAGCTGTGTATAGTCATCTTTTCCAGGAAAGATTAAGTCCAGAATCTTTAGCAAGTAAAGGATAAAGTTTTCGGATAATTCCTTGTGCTTTTCCTTGTATGTTGTTTGTATGTGCAGACTAAGTGAAGGATCTGTTTAGTGCAACTCCTAAATATTTCGCTTTACTGACGATGGGGAACTTTTATCTGAAAAGTAAGACGTCGCAGGTTAGTGATTTGCAGATAACCAGGATTTGGGACTTTTTGAGATTAATTTTCACTTTCCATTTGTGACACTATTTCTCTATTATGGAACTGTATCTTGAATTCTTTTGAAGACGTGATTAAGCCTCCTGGATCGTGCTATGACAGCTGTATCGTCTGCGTAACATGCCAACATGATGTTTGGTTTTCTTTGAAGCTTGGAAAATCATTTGAATAGACTAAGTAAGGAAATGGTCCAAGGATGCTTCCCTGAGCTACATTAACATGAATTTGATGAGGATGGGAGTGAAATTCGCCTTGTTGTACTGAGAAAGTTCTGCTTGTCCGGAAAGAAGTAATGATTTTAATTAGTTCTGATTGAAAGTTCATCATGATGAGCTTGTATAATAATCCTGTATGCCAGACGCGGTCAAAGGCTTTGGCCGCAGTACTATTTTTGTTGTGTATGGCCAAGCCGATAAATTGCATGATCCGGATGAGCTGATGGGTAGTAAAAAGGCTATGCCAAAATCCATGCTCCTCGTGTGAAATCTGACTATAGTCATCTTTTCCAGGACATACGGGGTAAGCCTGTTGTAGATGATGCATTTTAGATTCTTTCCCAACGTTAACAGTAGACTAATTGGTCTATAGCTATCAGGATCCTCAGGTGAGGCTTCAGAAGTAGAAAAATGCTGGCATGTTACTAAGGGGGTCGGGAAGTATGATTTGGCGAGGCAGGCATTGTAAATACTTGTTAATTTTGCAATCATGTTGGGTGGGAGATTTTTCATCATTCTATTAGTGATGGTGTCACTGTGAGGGGCCTTCTTTGAGTTCCTATGTTTGATAATATCCCAACTTCTCTTGGGTAGGTGATCTTGATGTGATTCTTGAACTGTGTTCTCAATTTCAATTTGGGAGTCATTGTTCGTGTTGGAAGGGTTTGGCCTAAACTGTCCGCGTAGATGTTCCGCAAATGCTACTGCTTTATCCTGGTTGGAGATAGCCAGTCCATTCTGCTTTCTGATTGGCTGCAGGTAGTGATAGTTTCATTTCAGTTATCTGTCTTAATTCCAAAAGGAACCATCCTCCAGACTGAGATTGTCAATTTTCTTACTCCAAGTTTTTTTTTCTGTGATTTGTAATAAGTGATTTGATTTCTGTTGTTAGCCTATTTATTTCAGTTTTAGTAGAGAGGTTCCAAGTATTGCTATAGGTATTGCTTGCAGAGTTTATTTCACTGAGTAATGATTGCTTTGATGTAAGCAGAGAGTTTACCATCTGAATATTTGCTGTTTACGGTTAAAGTTGCGTTTTGAAGAAATTCTTGGATCTTATCAGAGTATTTGAGTACTGCGATGTCAATATCTCGCTCAGTTTTAAGGGTTCCCATGTTGAATGACAAGGTTAGTGCTAGGTAATGAAATAATTACTAGTCTATTGATTTTTGGGGCACTTGTTCTTTTTGTGGAAGTCCTCCTAGCTTGGTAATCACTGAAAGATGATCGGAAGATAATTCAGTGACGACTTCCAAGGACATAGGGATATTTTCTGTGCAGAGAAAAGTCCAATATATCTTGCTTGTGGCCTGGAATATTAGGACTATAAGTGGGATCATTCAGGACAAATATGTAAATAGGGTTGTTGTGAAATAAAATACGAGGGCTATCCAGAAAGTAGATTACGTTTTGGAATAAAAAAATAAACAAAGTATAGGAAACAAATTTTATTATATACAGATGAAAGCCACACTCAAATACTACTTTTCTACATAGTCACCATACAAATTAAGGCATTTATCGTAGCGATGTACGAGCTTGGAAATTCCTTCGTCGAAAAATTCGGCCGCCTGCGCCTTCAACCACTTCGTTACCTCTTCTTGCACAAAACTTGTGGTAACCAAGCTTTTCGCTGATGATTTCGTGCAACAAACTTCGCGAAATTTGTGGAAAACTCAAAGAAAGTTCCGTTATTGTGAAATTTCGATTTTCACGGACTTTAGCATCGACTTTTTCGAGAAGTTCGGCGGTCACTATGCTGGGTCTCCCACTTCGATCTTCGTCGTGAACATTGGTTCGGCCATTTTGAAATCTTATGACCCACTGACGCACTCCACCTTCAGTGATAATGTTGTCCCCATACACTTCACGAAGCTGCCGATAGATTTCTATCGGTTTACAGTTTTTTGCAGTCAGAAACCTTATTACTGAGCGCACCTTGCGGGATTTTCAATTAACGCAGACATTTCAAACCGTCACAGTATCTGAACGGAGCACAGCACGAACCTCTCACTAGCACGGCTAGATGCAGACTGAGCTGTGCAACGCTCTGACCCCAAGATGGCCGCGCTAGCCCCGCCCCTAGCGGACACAGACGGAAACGTAATCTACTTCCTGGATGGCCCTCGTATAATTCTGAATTGTGCAGCCGTTTCCGTTGCTATTATGACAGCCTCCAGTCGATATGTTTTGCATTCCAGTCTCCACTGGCGATGCATGGTTCCTGACTTTGCAGTATGTCATCCAGGTTGCTGTTGTTGATGGGATTTTTCGGAGGGTTATAAACATAGCAGAAATTTAATTTCCCTATTTTGGGGGGCTTGACTTGCATGTTAATCATTTCATAAGCTTTGGAATTCTTTATTTTCATCATGCAGGCTTCGTAGATCCATTTTACATATATAAGGACTCCACCGCCTCTGTGGCACCATCTGTCACAGCGAAAGGTAGTATAATTTGCAAAATTAAGATTTTTACATGGAGTGGCATGAGTTTCAGTTATCAAAGTAATGTCCAGATCTTCTTTTAAGATGAAGTCATGAAGTTCACGAATTTTTGTTGTTACATTTTGCACATTCCAGAGTAAAATTTGGTAGGAGAATACGAGTTGTATGCTTGATTATTCATCCTGGCTGGTGAGGGGCCTGGCTGTGCTTTTGGTTATTTTAGTAACCTGAATATCCTTAAATATAGTGAGTACTGTTGTAAGCTTAGCTATTACCGCTTTAGCTTCTGCGAGTTTTTGAGATAATTCAGATATTTCTGCTAAATTTTTGTCATTCTGCGGGTTAGCACTATTCAAAACCACTTTTTCTGAGTGAAATCTGGGTCCTTGCTGCTTGGGTTTTGGGAGAGCACTGCATGCATGATAACTGGGTACCTGCTGAAGTCCACAGTTTGCAGAAGTCGGTGGAGTGTCCTTTGGTTTGGTGCAATCCCTAGATTCTTGCCCTGCCCTGCATTTCACACAACATGGAGGGAGTTTACATGTTTTTTGTGCATGGTTAAGATTCTTGCCCTGCCCTGCATTTCACACAACATGGAGGGATTTTACATGTACTTTGTGCTGGTTAAAGCCCTGGCAGCGGTAATACTGTGTAGAGCCTTTACGTCATCTGTAGTCTTCTATACTAATTTGTAGTCTCATTAAATATTCCAAGTTAGTTCTGGATTTATCATTTCATGGCAAAAAACACAAGGTATAGAGGCATTTTAATAATGTCTGGGCCACCATATTTTGTCAGTTGAACCACATTTTCAACTTGGAAATGAAGTTTAGTTCAAGTTCAGTTCCCACATCCGTACTTCCGAGCATCCCATCCTACTCCCACATCCATTGGAGGGGTGTAGGATGGGATGCTTCGAAGTACGACCTTAATCTTTTTAGCATCCAGCAGGACATGGGTGTAATATTTAATGCCTTTTTGATTGAAAAGGGCTGTGATTTGGTGGTGTGTATCAGAACTGAAGAGTTTTTATGTCGAACTGGTAATCACTAGTAACTAGTAATTTTAGCTTTGCAGTCCTGAAGTTTTTCATCATCTAGAACCTTAATCAGCTGCTTCTAGGTTATGCCCTCATCTTTTATGGTTAGCAAGGAATTTTTGATTTCCTGCATGGATACTGGAAACCTTCTGTGTCCTCATCTGCTGGAGTTTCCTCACTGGCTTCAGGTACTGCGACCTCTGTCGAAGCTTCTTGATTGGCAGCAGAGGTTGATGTTACAGGCTTGGGAGTCGGGATGCTTTCCTGTGCATTAGGCCTTTCAAGGGCTCCAACAGATGAACCTTTTGTAGTGTTATCAAAAAGCTTTTTTTTTGTTTTTCCTTTAGTTTTGCTAGATTTTTTCCTGACGGTAGGCAAGTTTTCATATGGGAGTTCAACTACTTCGTTCTCCTCATTCGGTACCAAGAATCTATATTTCGTGAGATTTTCAGTAGGTTTGATAGCTTTGCTGTTAGGACTGTGACTCTTATATAGTGTGTCTGCTGGAAATCCATGTAATCCTCTTTCAGTTTCCTTTAGCCAATGGGGAAGAATCATTGGGATTGAAGGTTGGCTGGAGGTCTTGTTTCTCATCTGCCTTGAATGCCATCATCTTGGTGAGAATCCTCAGAGTGAGTTCATCATCCATGGAGATTTACTAATTTTGCCGAGTCTACGAAATTTGCACACTAGTTGTTGGGTAAGTGCCATAGCGAAAACAGTAAGGAAGCGTAATCAAAAACTCAAAAGTGCTAAGTCTCAAATAATCAGAAAAAAAAAAAAAAAAAAAAAAAAAAAAAAAAAAAAAAACGAATGGCCTACTTTAAAAGCAGTATCTGAAATCGGAATATACCCCATAACTTTCATCTTATCACTTCCATCATTCTAATAGGATCCAGTTATCATGTAATCACTTTCATCATTTTAATAGGATATTAGCATTTTAGTGTGAATGAACTGTACAAGGAAATACTATTTGGTAGAAAATATTAATACAAGAAACTGAATTTAGGCTGGCAAGATTATAAGGATAAGCTATAAGAAACTATTTCATTTTTAAAGAAGTAAATAGTTTTAGCATTCACTTGTCAACATTCATATGTTGTACGTTATGCTTTGGGCAAGATGTCCTTGCATTGGTTTCAGAAGCATGCTTTACAGTACAGTATTCTAATATTTTATCCCTGTCATTCCAACAAAATATTATCACTTGTAAGAAAAATTTGGCATTCTCCATAAATTGGTTCCCTAAGCAGCTGCCTAGATTACCTATGTATAAAACTGGACCTGACAGAAAACAATGATGATTGTCATAATACAAGTTGTCTTCTTAAAGCATATTGTAGATTTTCAAATGAAGGTTTGATTTTTGTATCACACAGGTACCTGTGCAGCATTATTTTTAAAAACAAAGCAGGTTGATAACTATGCGAGTACATGCTGATAAATATGCAAAGTGTTTGAATATCTACTACGTTCTTCAGATTTTGCATGGCAGTGTTTTTTAATAATGGATAAGATAAATGGATTGATGCAGAATAAATATGCACTCAATACACATGAATCAACTGCTTATTCTTTCACTAATGGTGTTCATTTTAGAACTTACATATGATTTTCTTCCTTGATTTAGAAGCTACAGAGTAATGTTTGTATATGCATTGACATAATATATTTAACTAAAATTTATATGAAAGGCTTTTGTAATGTGCTGCTTCATCTGTTTTTGACTGTATCATTCTGTGCATATTTCTTCTAGGTCATCCTACTTATGGGTCCACGTTGGTTGTTCCTTTCTTTTCCTGTTATTGGGTATAATTGTGATGAAGCACTTTTCTGTGAATTTAAAGCTCAGTGATAATGAGAGTTTGGTAAATAGTATTTTATTTTTGATAAATTGTTATATAGATGATAAAAAAATCATTTATCACTTTTAAAACTAGGAAGTATTTGATTTCAGGTTGTATGTTAAAGTGCATCGAGACAAGATTCAAATCTTCAGCTACTCATTTATCTTCTATTCAGCAAAAATAATATTTATGATGGTAAACTGAATAAATAGGAAATAAGTGTAAAATATGAATGATAACTTTTCAGATTATTTTTTCTAACTTGCATATCACATTATATATTATTTATAAAATGTTTTAATCTTTAAAATCAATTTATCGAAGAGTGTTATTTCCAGATATAAGAGAATGACATTTCAAGCTCTCAAGCGCAAAGTGTAGAACATAACTCAGATTCATGCAGTTTGATTCTAATTTGTAAAAGTGTAATATCTGTACCATTGTTTGACTTCTTTTACATATTTATTACAATTTTATGCTTAAATTAAATGCATTAAGATATGAGTAGGCAGATCCTGCCAGTAGAAAATTATCAGTTGTTACCAGTGTCCCTGACTCTGATTGGAGGTACTTTTTTTGATAACATTGCACTATTAAACCTGCAAATTTCATAAAAATTTATGAAAAAGTATTATTGTAAAAGAAATTTCTACATGATGCAAAGAAAACTTGATTAGCCACTGGCAGTACACAGAGGTCAGTCACATCATGATGCAAATGTTGATGTTGCATAAGGCACATGACACTATGAGATTATGAATAATTGTCCAACAAGAAAATCTGATGTTTTAAACAAATCTCTGCATATTTATCACTTCTGTGCCACTGAAATTTTGAACTAAATCTCCAAACTACCAGGGGGGGGAGTCTGCCTGGTTTGTTTTCACTTAAACTATACTGTATATTGCTTCTCTGCAAATCGAATGAACTTTAAAATTTCGCTCTGAGATATATGGAAGTTGTGTTTTGGGAAGGAAATTAAGAATGATTCTTTGCTTAATATTTCTTTGATTAACTATTCTTATTTTCATCTGCAAAAATTATAAAAGTTTCCTCCATGGATAAATTTAATCTTGAAGCTTTCAGCATCTGTAACAATTTGCTATTTTGGATAGTGACTGAATCCATTTTATGGTCAATTATATCTGTGACTTCTTTCTTTCCTTTTCCCTCAATTAATTTTTATTTTAGATTTGGGGATAGCATTGTTTGTGTGTGTGTTCTTTCACTATTTGCTAAAAAAGGATAGTACAGTAAATCATTGAAATCAGGCTATTCAAAATGTCATCTTTATACCATTTTTGCTACTTAATTTGTTTGTATTAATTTACATATGCTTTCAGGTTCTTTCACTATACTGGACTTCAGAATTAAAGTTATAAATTAATTATAATGTTATGTAGTTTCATTGGAACTTGTCTAACATTGTCAAAGTATTATTGTTGTGATAAATACAGGAGAAATTACAGTGATCTAAGTTGGAATATTAGATTAAAAGAGGACAGGTTTTTCAATGCTTATAGTTCCGATAGGTGGAAACTATATCATTATCTGCACTGTTTTCGGAAAAATTTCAGAAGCTTCTAGAAAATCCAAATTGAAAGGTATATTAGTGCAAGCAATGGTTTTGGTTTCCCAAAACCGAAAAATTGTGGTTTTATTCAAACAGTGAGAAACAAATGAAGACATTTGAACCTTTTTTTTGTGTGTGTTTTCCCCATATTTAATTTGTTCCTTCACTCTTGGATTTCAGTGGTCTGCGGGTTTGTCCTTCATATGCAAAATAGCACTCGCAAAAAATTATAAATGCCTTAAAGTACGAAGATCTAGTATTTTGTCTTTTGCAAATAGGAACTTGATTTTGTTAATAGATTTAAAAGAAACTGTAGTCCCACACTATTTGAGGCATTTGGAAAGGAGAGGGCTGAGTTTAGGAATAAATGGATAGCAAATGGATGGTATTGAAGTGTCCTTACTGTGAAGACCTGAAATTGAAGGAGATGAATGTTTCCTAAATGCTGTGTCAATGATGATGGAAGGATAACTTTGAGGAGCAGCAGTACCTTTCAGAGCCTTCAGTTCACTTGCCAAGGTAAGATGAGTAGAGCATAAATGAATAGCACAATGAACAATGTAAGAAGATTTCTTTTTTTTTTTTTTTTTTTTTTTTAATATGATTGGCCTGCACAATTATGAGAGATCAAGAGGACAGCCAAAAGTTTGCAAAAAAAAAAAAAAAAAAAAAAAAAACTTCGGGTGCAATTTATTTTTACATTTCATAATGAATATATCCTAGGAAGGAACTGAATTATTAAATCCAGCTTTATATGTCAATTGTGTTATCATCATAAGAATTCAGTGTGGAAAGAAAGCAAGATTTTGCAGTTTCTTTTAAATCTATCTATAAAGTCAAGTTTTCATTTATAAATGAAGAAACACTGGACTTTCTTTCATGGAGCATTTTTAAAATTCCCGAGTGTGTTCTTGTACATAAACTGTTTTGAGCCTACCTTTCAACCTAATATTTTAATTTGCATGTGAAGTCCTATAAAACTTCTGCTGTCTTTATTGCAACAACAGCACTTTTTAAATTATGAAACTAGTTTCAACGAAAGTGCAATCAATGATATTTTTAGTATTTGTGCTAATTTTTATGTTGAACTACTTTTAGTAATTTAGAGGTTGTTAAAAAGTTAACAAGATATATTTTTTGAAGAAAATATAAAAGTGACCAATAATTGAATTTGAACTTCATCTGTAGAATTCTGTTTCATGTAAGAAGAATAGCAAAATTTATTAATTTCACTTAACAAATTCTCACAGTAATTTAAATAATAGATTGAGGTTGCTCCCTGGTTATGAGTGTCTGAAATAGTTTTATCCAGGTTGTTCCACCAGTTGCAAGTTACATGTGTATAGGAGGTCCGACTAAGTACATCTAATGTCATCTGTAGAAGATTCATCTAGATCTGAGGTTCTCAACCTTTTGATTAACATGTACTATCTAAACAAAAATTTAACATTTTAGTACCACCACTACAAAGTACTACTACCACCACCACTCTTGAACAAAGCTCAAATGGCATAAATTTAGAGTGTTAGAGAAAAAACTCAATCAGGATGTTGGGGTTTTAATTTTTGAATTTAATAGTTCAAAATACTTTGCTTCTTTGCGTACCACCGGTTGAGAACCCCTGAACTAGAGCATTGAATGTCTGATGCAGTAGGGAGATGATGGATAGAGAGTTCTCTCAGGAGCTTACTACTGCATCTAGGAAAAAAAAAAGGTTTCTGGGCAAACTAAATACAGGACCTAGCACAGCAGGCCGTTTGAGCTTGAGAGATTGGCAGTGTGTGTCCTTGCTCAGTGGAATACACAAGAGTCCATCTTTTATGGAGCTGCATGCACCATTTTTGGACGCAAGATTGGGGCTGTGCTCATTTAGTGATGAGTTGTGATTCAGAGTGATTTTCTATATTCCTTCATCTGAGAGAGGCCTAGGCCGTCTATCAATCCCCAACATAAGGGAAGTTGACCATTTTGATGGAACTGGAAACCTTTTGGGCCGAAACATCACTCTAGATGTTTGGTTGTTTGTTTTGAATACAGCAAAACACATAAGGACTATGGAAGGGAAGGGTTGCCTTTAGGGAGGATTTTAAGGAAAACTGTCACATATAAACTTGGGGAAAACACTGAAAACACTCATGCATCCAGCTTGTTCACTAGGGCTCAAACTTGAATCGGAAGCACTAGTTTCTTAGTGGTTTTAGCCACTTTATCATTAGTGGATCATCATACTGTATGGATGCACACCGATACATGTTTTTGTGAGCTGTTGGAAAAGACTTTAATTTTATGCACGATAATTTAAACGCCATGCAGAGTTAAATAGGTTGACATTTTCAGGCAGAGCTATTACACGACTTTGCCGTATTCAACATCCTCCAAAGGCCTTTCAAGCAATAATATTCATGCTTTCAGAAGAATGGGATTTGTTATCACAAGCTATGATCAGCCATCTCGTGTACATTTTTATGGCTCATTGTGAGGCATTTTAAGCTGTGAAAGGTTGCCACATTCTTATTTGCTGAATCAGTCAGGATATAGTAGGTGTAATATTTTTGTCAATTTGGGAGTCATTTCATATCTCAAAAGTTTACCTCCCGATTATTTTGCTAGGTTGTTATTGGTTATCTCATAGGTGTGTACAGGAATCTCACATGTGCGTACAGGAATTTATTTTGATAAACTAATTATTTTTCAATATATATATAATATATATATATATATATATATATTTTGGTATTTGTAACCTTAATTTTGGACACTAGTGTATATATGGAAATTGCAGTTATAAAATCCTGTTTAATATCAAAATAATTTTAAATCTAGGAAACATTATGCATTTCAATTAATTCTATGCTGTTCACTGAAAGTTTTATTTTACAGGTTAATCGAACATTGTTAATATCAAATGTGCCTAAAGATCTTTGCGAAGAGAGCATTTTGATGCAGCATTTCCAGTAAGTTGTTCTCTAAATAAAAAATATCTTGGAGGAGGAGGTTATTATCAATACAACAACACAAATACATAAATACTGTTTGATGTTAATCATAAATACATAAAAGTTTTATGATAAACTGTGTGTTATATATGACTCATCATTCATATCTTGAGGGATGAATAAATCTTTGAAAAATATTTAAGCAGTTTCTCATAATTATCTTTTAGATATGTAGATGAGAATTATATGATTAGGAAATTCTGAATTGAACCAACTGTATGCCATTTTTTAATGTGAGAGGCGCATTTGCTTTGTATGAGAGTAATCAGGAAAACAATCATCAAAATTCTGAATCATTTTTCTAATCATCACCTAAAAAGATACCCACAATGGTTGCATTTATCATATGTTTCATGAGTGAACATGTAGTTATATATCCTAATTGTCCTAGTTAAAATAGTGGTTCGTTTTAAATTGCTGAGAGCTGCGATTAGTGTTTTGTACTTTTCATTGTGAATCATAAGATGAAATTAAAGAATGTTTCATAGATAGTATTTAAGGACATTTGTTAAATTCATAAGTAATATCTATTATTTAGCCGTTAACTAAATGTAACTAATATCTGTAATCTGATTCTACTGACATTTATAAAATATTTTACTTTATTCATAACTTCACAGTTTTCAAAATCCTTCAGCAGAAGCAAAGAGCCAGAATGGTATTTTTTTAGGAACCTCTCCCTATCTTATCTGTGATGAATGTGCAAATGTATGGCGAAAGTTGTTTTTGGTAATTTTTCTAAAATCTTTCTTGTATTCTATAAGATGATTTTTGCTCTGAAGTATGTAATGGCTTTATCTGTTAGGAATATTCTGTGGATGTACTATCAAAGCCTTATATTTCAGTATCTTTCCTAATCTATGATTTACTGTCAGGACAGAAACAAATAACACTCATATTCTGGACTAACTTATCCTAAGAACCAGAAATAAACTGACTGTTGCAATATATTACAAAGCAATGGACAACCTAGCAGTAATTTCTTTTGGTTTCTATTATCATTGTATGCATTTTTGTTTTGGCTGAAAAAGCTCAGAAATTCTCCTGTCTGTATGATCTATATAAAATAGAATACTAAGATATCCAACAGACTGCAGAAAGCAACAGATATTCATCAGCTTCTATATAAAACCGAATTAGATCAGTTCACAGATTACAGAAAACATTTCAAATGGTGAAAAAAGAATGTGTGGCATGGATGCACTGAGCTGATCAATGTTTATTAATGTTTAACAATGCTTTTATCTGGAACATTGTGTACAGTGAAGTTTTTGATTAATTCCATAAGTTCATTTATTTTGTTGCCTTTACTGCTCATTGTTGTGCGAAGTTTGAGTTATGTTATAAAATAAAACAATAAAATTATTGAATCACCTTTATTTACTCATTATTTCATTTTGTTTAATCTTGTCACCAAGTCTCGAAATGCGTGTTCAGTTTTAAAGTTTGATTTATTCTCTAACTTTTAACACTCCCATTCTCACTCTTATGCAATACACACTGTAACATGTTTCATGTGTTCGTTTTTCAATTCGTTAGAGAGTCAGGGGCTTACTGTTAAACTAGAAATAATGCCAACAGTGACCATGGAAATTAGTCAGAAAGGACAGAAATAATGCAAAGGAAAAAATATACATCAGGTGTACACATCATTTCCATCTCTAATGAGACAAAACATTAACAAGGGTGCTGTATTGGATCACAGTCCCCACAGTTAATAGCTGAAATTACCGAACACAGAAATGACATTCATAGAATCACCATTGGTAATAGCTTTAACCCCTTCGCGATGGCATGTTGCTGAACTGAAAACCCTCTGCAGACGGGTGTGTAATAGATGCATCAGTCCTAAACATCGCTAGCAGCCGGGTAATGCACTGGCGCATCGTTGCTTGCATTGAGCTTCCAGACAGGTGTTGCATATATGTATTCTCAAACATACTCATTCTTTTAGAAGTTTTTTAAATCTCTAATTAGCACTCCATGTCCATTACAGTTATCTTATTTGAACATATACATTGTTGACCTCGTGTGTGAAGTCCTTTCTGATTCTCATGATTCACTTACATGTACGAGCTGATGATATAAAAATAAAACCTAGCTGATGCGCAGTTGGCTTCATGTGATATAAACATTGAACAGTTTCCGATGCTTCAAATTTTTTTTTTTTTTTTCTTGCGGAAGATTGGGAGTGGAGTTGTGGTTTTAAGAACTCTGGTTTTTATTCAGTTTGCATCTTCTTTAGATAGCAGGCGTAAGTTTTTTTGCACTGGTTAATAGAGTTAAACTGATAGTGCATTGTCGAAGAGAAAGGTGATTTTAATGGAAGAAGAGTATATTCAAATTGTAATGCGCATGAGTGACTGTTTTGACACTGAAAACTCTAGATTTAATTGAGAATGAGACTGAATTGGAAGTTTGTTTTGCTTTTACCTCACAGTCCAGGAGAACAGTGGCTACTCTGTCATCATCTCGAACTGTTAAGTAATTGAATGAATTTAGGAGAATTCCAGAATTAAACTTAATTCACAGCTATGAAAATGAAATTGATTTTTTTACCATTTTTTCAATAATCTAATTGTAATAGTTGAAGAAACTAATAATTTCTGTGAAGAGAAGATGAGTGAAAATCCATCTTCTCCAAAATCAACATACTCCTCTAGATATGCTTAAAATGAGGAGATTCCTAGGATTAATTTTTCTTCTGGAATGGAATAATTGAAAAGGTTTTCGTCGAAATGTGTTTTGTAACTAATGAAATGATATGATAGTGACTAGATTTATCGTACATTTTATTATTTTTACGTATGTTTAGACTAAGATTTAAGAAAGTTTTTTACAGCAATTCATCAAGATGAGTCAAATATTTTATTTTGCATTTAGATTTTAATTAAAATGTTTTCAGAATCTCTTGATATTCTGTATTTATGATTATATTAGTGTAAGATACTATTACAGAAAAAATCAAAACAATTGGTAAAAAAATATTTTTAATGAATTTTTTTTTTTTTTTTTTATTTTAAGTTAGGCTTATCTTGCCTTGATCATATTACTGCAACAACACACTGTCTCCAAGATGGGTTGTGCTTAGCGCAATGTCGTCTCCTAAGACGATCAACCTTCTCACTGCGTACCTTTTTTAAAATCAAAATAGGTTAAAAAATTGCATATTTTTTATTACATATATCAAACCTACATACATTTTAGAGTTGAAATATACAAGAATTTTTTGTAAAAGTTTTTTTTTCAATATAGAATTAGATCATAGAGAAAGGTTGTCGGAATACTGAAATTGAAGAAAAATGATATAAAAGGAAAATTTTGAAAATTAATATTGGTTAAATTATGATTTATTTTATAAAATACCAGGTAAACATATATACTATATATTGTATATATAAATTTTTTCAATCAATCGAAACATATATATCAGTTTTGCACCACTGTCGAACGTTTTCAATAGGAACTGAATTTTCAGATTCATCACTATCTGCAGAGGAATCCGAGAAATTCTCATCAGTTTCGCTATACCTATCTTCAATATACTTGAAATCAGAGTCTGAACTACTATCAGTGTCAGGAATATAGGTTATATCACTCGCGAAATGATTTCTGCCAGACATCTTTGAGCTCTGAAAAGCATGCGCGAAATGCTACATTACATATTCTTGTACATTTGGCAGAAATGTGGACAACTGATGCCATCTGTTAGCCCACATCTAAATTAACAATTAAACATCACAGAAAAGCCGAAAGGAAACCTTGAATGGGAAATTTTGCTACTTCTACATTGCCCATGGAAATCGCGAGATGTGCAGCGAGAGGGTTAACTGCTGATGCATATATGATACATCCATCCTGAAGGGGTTAACGGAAATACATCTTTAATGAAATACACTCTTTTGCAAAAAAATCGAAGCGCCAAGAAGGGCTTTTGCAATCGTGATGAAATTCAGCATGCAAAAACATCTTGATCGAACATGCAAATGATCAAAGTTTCAAGACAAATGAACAGAAATCGCAATCATAGCACACATTTCTAGTGCGCTATTCGCAAAGTATAAAACAGTATAAGTAACAGAGGCAGAAAATTTATCTTTTTTGTTGTTGCCATTGTAATTCCGTAAAGAAGCAACTAAAGATGCCATTACGGCAATATGCAAGACCTTACAGACAACTAAACGACTTTGAACGTGGTCGCATTGTAGGGTTGCGTGAAGCAGTGTGGTCATACTGAGCAATAGGCCACCACCTACAGTGTACAGACACTGCTGCAAAGATGTTCGCAGCAGTGGTTGCTATAAGGAAATTGCCGACGAAATGAAGACTCTGGAAGGCCAAGGATCACAAATCAGAGGCAAGATGGGATGATTGTTCACCAGCCCGAACCATCCCAATGATATCATTGTCGACTATTCAACTCACTACAGCCACCACCTCCCGTGGTATCGTTCACCATCTCACACTGCATTTGTCTCTGAGGCGGGGTTACACTCACAGAGGCCTTTAAGATGTTTGCATTTGACCCCACAACATCGGTGGAGTCGTGTAGAGTGGTGTCGCAGCCAATCGTCATGGCTGCCATCAGACTGGTCCTATATACCAGTGCTCCGCAACCGGTGTGCCATGAGTAGGATATAGGTGTGCCGCAATCAAATACATGTATTTGACATTTTGCAATTTTTTATCATGTATTTAATACACAATGACAATTTTTTTCCTTAATAATGTCTATTTTAAATGTTTTTATATATTTCACTGTTGTGTGGTTGTGTGTGTGATTGTAAGTGCGTCAGCATTTGAATTTTTTCGGCACTTCCTTGATAACTCAGAACTCCTTGGTGTGCCACGAAATTCCAGAAAGATTTTTTGTGCATCGCAGGTGAGAAAAGGTTGCGGAGCACTGCCATATAGTGTTCAGCGATGAATCCTGCTTCACTCATGAAGCAGATGAGTGTTCGTGTCTGGAGAGTGCAGGGCCAGTGGTCCCAATCAGCCTTTGTTTTACAGAGGGATACAGCCATAACCCCTGGTGTGATGGTGTGGGTCGCTATTTCTTATGGCAGCAGGTCATCTTTAGTCATCCTCTGTACATCTTTAACAGCTCAACAATAAGTTGATACCATCCTGTGGCAGGTTGCATTACCCTTCATGGCACGTCATCCTGAGACCATTTTCCAACAGCATAATGTCAGGCCACATACTGCTCGGATCTCTGGACTGTCTCTGTGTGGTTGATACTCTTCCTTGGCCAGCAAGGTCACCAGACCTTTAACCAATCGAGCATGTCTGGGACATGGCGGGCTGCCAGATTCGGGCACCACAAAATATCGCAGATCTGGAGCGACAACTGATGAATGCCTGGCAGAATGTGTTGCAGGATGACATTAGGAACCTCTACCACTCCTTGCCTCAATGAATTCAAGCATGCATTGCCGCCAGGGTCGCAAATAAAGTAGTACTTTTAGATATTAATTGTTATTATCAAAGTAATTGAATTTTAATATCAAAATAAAGTTCTAACAACTTCTGAAAGATCACTGGTGATACCTGATTGTAAAATATTTTTATTGAGATTCAAGATAGAAAATGTTTGTTCTTTTGTAATGGTTAACCCAAAAATAACTATTATTTTTTAGAAAAATCCATAAATTTGTTGAATTTGACAAAATTTAAAAGTTACTGATTTCTTTACAACTGTGAAATTATTTTAAACCTGTATTACAGTGCAAATCTATAATCTCAAGTTCTAGTTCTGTTATTGCACCGCATAATTTTATTGAAAGTAGGTTATGAACTATTGCTAATTTTGTTCTAGTTTTTCAAAAACATCAAATCTTGATGAAAAGTATTATGTTCTTTGCTTGAAATTATGTGGTTCAGTGTGCATTTAGTTTCACTACATTCTTGAAATTTACTTTTACTGCTCATGAATAGTCATGGTTGGAAAGCTTTCCATGTTTTTTTCAGTAAATTTCTTTGGAGCAACTGTCGGTTTCATTGAAATGCATTTTTACCATACCATAGGCAAATAAATTTTTACCTTGTAACATCAGGTTAAATGTTTTGAAATGTATCACAATGTAAAACATGGTAGTAGTTTTGTTAACAACAGTAATTCATTCCAAGATTGTTTGTCGTTATCCAAGCCAGAACTTGCCTCAAGTATAATAATGATAATATTCTTAAAATTTACTTTCACTGGTCATGATTGGAAAGCAGTCTATGTTGTTTTTCAGTAAATGTCATTGGAACAATTTGAGTTTTCATTGAAATCCAGTTTTATCATATCTTAGTTTTTTTGGCCTTTTAACATCGGGTTTAAAGTGTTGAAATGTATCACAATGTAGAACACAGTAGTACTTAGATTAACAAAAGTAATCCATTCCAGGATTGCCATCATTATCCAAGGCAGGCTTTGCCCCAAGTATAGTAATGCTAATCAATTAATTATTTTTATTCCCTACCCACAACAATAGTGTATGTCAGATGTGCAGATAAAATTAATTTAAATATCATAAAAATATGGTACATATTATTTATTCATTTATATTGACTAAAATTTTATCATTAATAAAATTAATGGTTTATGAATACAGTTTTTAAGTGTTAGTCTTCATCAGGACATTTTGGTTGAACCTGGAGTTTTTTAATTGATGGACCAATGAAAAACATGCCTAGGTTTGTTTATTTTTATAATGTTTCTGAAAAACTTCATGGACTTTTCATTAAACAGATCTGCAGTTTGGCATAATGTTTATTACAATTGTCGCCAATCGACAGTGCATCATAAACCAAAACTTGCATCATTACCCCAAGACATTTTTTCTTTCTGGCATCTTGTCTTTAATGAAGTAAATCATTAACCATGGTACCATTGTAAAAGTAAAATTACAAATCTAGTCACAGTCAGTTAGTTGAGAAAAATCTAATATATTTTAATTTTTAAAGTATAGTGATATTATCTTTCAAATCCCATATTTGCCAAAGAATTTTTCCTAAGCTGTCCATTGTGTTTGACTATATAAAGAATATCACAGCACTTGGATTCAATATCTTGAAGAACTCTGAGAGTTTCTGTTTCAGGCCCATGAATATATTAAGTTTTTACAACTTCAGTAATGCAAGCTGCGACCTATTCAACTTTTAATATATTTTTACATAATGTCTATTGATACAATGAATTATAATTAAATTATAATCAGGACAATCTTCATAAATTTTACTGTGAATTTTCTTTAATGCTGTAATATCCCCCCCCGCCATCAAACTTCAGGTTTTACACTTCAAATCAGAACACATACTACACATTTAATCAGAATTCGTGCTACACATTGAATCAATTTTTAGTTTTTTTATTTTGTAGTATGGTGAATTGTATCTTGTTAGGCAATTTTAACCTTTCTCAAGTGCATCAGCCTCATTGTTTGGTCTTTCGTTGATTGCACTGAAAGTGGCATTTCAGGAATTTCAAATTTAGTGGTATATCCACATATAAAATTTTCTAATTTATTAATAACTGTTATAAAAATAGTAAAATTAATAGCTAATGATGTGCAATCTTGTTTGATCATGACTTTTGTTGAGAGCTATTATGTATTTTCCATTTCCATTCCCATGCATTTTCCATTTCTTACATTCTTGGATGGCACATAAGTGCGGTCAACAAGATTTTCCTTTTTTGGATTTATATTTTTTTTTTCAAAGAACAACTGCAAATTTAGGCTGAAAGGTTTCAGCTACTGTTATGCAGAGCTTATTTTATTCATTAACTCCTCAAGAGATCAGCTGACATGCAAACAAAGGTCTTTAAAACAGAATATTGCTAATGAAGGTATGTGATCTACGAAATTTTACCTTGATTTGAACAAAACATAGAAGTTATAAAATATTTCACAAGCTGATAAATTCAAAATACAGTACACAATTAAAGAGGCATCAAAAAACAGAAAAAGTAAATTATTCTATGAAATGTAATTATTTCTACTGCTGATTCAATTGTGCATGGCAGACTATTGTGCATGGCTGATTCAATTGTGCATGTGGCCTGCTGGCCGTAGTGCGATTAGACCAGATCTAAAGATTCTTATTTAAAATAAAATAGAAATTAAGCTCATCCATAAATACATCCAAAAAATAGCATCAAAATTTGAAAGCAACAGGAATATGAGTAGGCCACATTGCAATAGAGAATTTCAGTCATTCTGCTACTTATTTTGGCAGCAAATCTTCAAAGTAAAGTAACTCTACTAGTGAAACTACAGATAATCACTTTCAAATTGTAACTACTGATAAAACTGGCATGAAGAGAAAAGGGAGGAAAGAGGGTATGCAACAAGCTTCTATTTATGTTCCAACTGGTGTAGTGGAGGGGCTATTAATGAAAGCTTGACTCTGAGTAAACATACATGGTTTTAAGTATGTGGTTTTAATCTTGTATATTTAGTCTGACATTTGTGTTATGCATGCCAATTAATATTCTGTGCATGTGCTTATATTAAAAAATATTCTAAGGACATCAGTTACCGATTATTTTCTGATAATAATCTTAACTTTAACAGGGAAGCATATCCTGAATGTAGCATTGAAAAAGTTCATCTTGCTTATGATGTTAGAACTTTAACAAAGTTAGATGCTGAAAGGTAATACTACATTTTGTTCTTCCTACCCTTTGATCTCTAACTGAATTTTATTTTTTATTTGTACTATGAATTACAAATTATCATGCAGTATTTCATTAAGATTTATAAGGTATGTATAAATGTAAGAACTGTGTTATATTTTAAACTGATCACTGCATATAACTAACTAAACCTTAGTTTTATTAAAAATATTTTAGTGTCATTTACGTTATTGTTTAGAACTAATAACTTAACAAATGAGTTTGTGTAAAGCATCATTTTTTGAAACTTTGTTGGCTCACAACTCCTTTATCCTCTGCACAGATTTAATATTATTCTTCCCTTGTAAAACAGTTCAAATAATTAATTAATGGATCAGACATGTTTGTTTTAAAGATAAGTTTCTTATCAACTCACTGTATTCGTGTTAAAAGTACCTTATTCTAAAATATTTTCCACTAAACCAAAGAGTCAGTGAAATGGGAGAACTTGTTCCACTTTTATTTGGTTACAATTATTGGCAGAATCTGGCAACTACAGTTCCATCCTCATCTTTACTATGATTCTGCATCTGATTTTGATGATGACTGCTGTTAAAATTTTGGCCTTATATTTATATGATGTTGGAAATTAAATTAAAACTTTTAGATCTACTATGAAGTAAATTTTTGGATATTCTTGATATTTTATCAAATTTTGTGATTCCACTGTAACATATTAAAGCTATTTCATTCCATTCAACTTTGATATCTGGAAATAGTTTCGCTTCAGCAGTGCTCAGAGCTAGTGTAGAAGAGGCAGCACAAACTGCAAGGCTAATGAAATGTATAAAAATTGTGCTTGTTAATTCCAGAGTTATGAATTTGATGTATTTGACGGGACTACTATGTTGCACAATTTCTTTTGAGGGAGGTGCTAATCAAAGTAAACAATTAAGTGCATGGTGATAAATGACCAATTAGCATCAGCTTATGGGCAGCATTCAATTTAAAATAATTTTCATTAAAAAATATATGCTATGCAGCAAAGAAATCAGTTGTCTAAATCTTTTCTCATTTATCTTCCCTTCTGAAGGCTAAAATTTTCAGGGAAAGGTTAAGTTATTGGTCATCTTGTACAGGCTTATTGTATTAAATTAGCTTTCATAGAATGTCATTCACATATGCCTGATGCAAAGCAATCATGGTGTTTTCATCGCTTGTGATCTTTTTAATAAAAGGCCTCAATAGCCAAGGGACCATATTTCTTAATGTTAAAGTTGCATTGTTTATGTATTCATAACAATTGAATACATAAACAATGCAAATTATTATAATTGGTACACTATGTTTATTTCAGTTTCCTAGATGATAATAATAGTTAGTGACTCTGACTGCTTTACCAAAGGGCTTAGGTTTGAATCCCGAAGAAGACATGGATGTTTATAAGCATATAGTATCTGTGCAACAAAGGTCATTCAAAATTTGTGGTCAGCTGAAAGTCCTCTCAAGAGGTTGGTGATAAGGGAAGAGGGTGGAAGACCTTCAGACTGCACTTTCAGAGTGTTCTGCCTCAAAATTGTGGCATAAGCTTAAAAGTTAGGCTCAATTAATATTTCAATCACATGTGGTACTACAGAGGTGCTGGCATAGCTTCTGCCTGTACCTGTGTTTATTTTAAAATGTTTACATTAATATATATTGTTTTGCTTGTACTTTCAGTTTGTTATTCCTTTTTTAACATTATAGTGATTCATATATGACCTGATGTTAAAAATTGAAATGTTTCCCTAACTGCAATATTTTAGTGTTTTTTAAATACCATACATATTATATTAGTAATCTTTCAAATAAAATTTCAAATATTTAGGATAGTCTTGTGTGTTCAGAAGTATTCTGTAAAGTAAATAGTTACATGTGAACTGTTGAATGCTGTCTATGTACGGGAATATTCATTGCATATAACTAAAATTTAATTTTATCTAAGTAAAAAAAATATCAATGCTATGAATTTATTAATTAAAGCTTTTCCCATGTTGGATATGTGTGGCATATTTTAACATAGACATTTTCATAAAGGGAAACATCTACTCATGCAAGATTGTATTGTGAAAATGTGTTGAAGGAAACTGGCATACGGCCGAAAATGAGGCCTTATGCTTGTGGAAACATATGCATTTGTTGTAGATGTGAGCAGGTAAGCTTTCTGTAGTGCATGGAAAATTACCTAGTAATTTTTATACTTTTTGCCATTTCTTGTAATATTTTTTTTATTGTTTCATAAAAGTTACCTGTTTGTTAATTGGTTACTGTTTCATAATTGGTTTCCTTTTTTTAATCCAGTTACTTTGTAAGCCGAAATGACAGTGTCCCTTTTCACAATTTATCAAAGTGTGGTGCTTTGTGCTTATGTAACATATATTCCCTTGTTTCACTTAATAATTGTCATTGTTATTTATTTTGTTTTGATAATTTCCAAATGATGGGAATGATTTCCAGTTCAATGAAGGGAAAAAATAAAGGCGAGATAGTTTATAGATCAAGATAACAAGCATAAAAGGACTTATCTCCTGATTGTTTAAAAATGGTACCACTACTCTAACATATGAATCTGATGTTAAGTTTGAATGCAAAAAGGATCATTTTCAGATTTGTTTTATGTATTTGTAGTTTCTGAAAAATAACATTTCAACTGCATGTATTTTTTCTTGAAATTTAGTGTAGAATCTGATACTTAAAAACCCTATATTATAAATTAGTGTAGTCTGTTCATTTCCTTATTTTATTAGTGTTTCATTTGTAATTATAATATATGTATTTGCTTTTGTTAGAGAAGAAAAAGAGGAGCTTTCTGAGACTTAAGACAATTTACAGCAAAACAGAGTTGGGATGTCTTCACATAATCTTAATGAGAATAAATTACGTGTTGGCTTCACATGTGTCAGTTATTGATATTGAACTTTCTTAGAAAAATTCTTCATACCGGAACGCGTTCATCAAAACTGATAACTGTAAACCTAAAGACATCAGATGGAGTATGAGGAAGAACTGAACTGGCAAATAGCCACACCTGAGGCTTATGACTTCTAAGATACAGGACTTCATTTTTCAGCATTAAATAACTAGAGAATGTAAATTTGTAACTGCCTTCAAGGAAAATAGCTTTCAAAAACGTTTTTCTAAAAAGAGTTCGATTGTATTTGCCTTTCACCTAAAAGAAACAGTCAGGGCACATCTATTCCCTGTGGAAGTTATTATTGTTGCATTTTCATTCTAAAATTTTTGAATGCTTTAATTTAAAAACATATATGTTTTATTAACATTAGCAATATCTTAATTCTTATTACATAACTATAACAATCTAACTACAATACATTGATTTGGTTACAGCATTCTGTTGCCATTCAGATATTAACCAGATACATTTGACAAGTATGTATTGTCTCTTCTTTTATAATGGGGAAATCACAAAATCCTTTATTGAAGATGATTGCTTTGCAGCTTCTCTGCCATTTGTTACATGCAATCAGTGATGTACATTATGTGTCATTTGCACATTCTGTGCAAATCACTTGAGCCTTGAGCACATTGTTGTGTGACTTGATTTGTATTTCTTAAGCTATGTAAATTCTATATTCTAGAATACCTTTGTTTATTTCATCTACCTTTATGCTTGTTTTGTGAAGAATTTTTTGCTATGCCAACCATTTTCTCTGCAAGTCAAATCAGTTTGGGATAATTAGAGCTGCTGTATTTAATTGTGTTTAACAGCTGTATACAAGAGACAAACAAAAGTTTTGATGTGTTCTACACTAATTTAAGAAAATATGAGTAATCCTGTCAACTGTGCCATCTGAATTTTCATTCTTGGTAAAATTTTAAAACACAGTTGTTAAGAAAATCACATGTATTTTAATAGCATCTTAATTCTTATTACACAACAACTGTAACAATCTAGGACATTGTGTTGGCGGCTGTGCTCTGTTGCCAAGACACTGCAGTCTGTAATATTAACCAGATACAGTTAACAAATATGTAGCAATTCTAGTAATAAAATTTTAATTCATGCATGCAAAATTTTATTGGTATTGGGGGAAAGTCCATCCCAAAGATTGTCATTTTTTAATGTGTTGTTTATTGTATTTGTAATACAAATGCAATTTGAATCTTGCTGGAAATAAATAAAATATACATTGTGATAATTATTATCATAAAGACCATCCTAATAAAATTGGCATATAAGCTCACAAGACAGGAAATAATTACCTTTTATCATTTAAAGATGTTACTTCAAACATCAGCGGTGCAGGCATCACAACATTAAAATTATCCTTAGAATAGCTTTTAATCATATGTTAAAATTGTGAGAAAATGATGAGACCAGGGGGCTGTTCCGTATGTATATTTACTCTGTGAAAAAAGATTGATTGACAGCTAGAGTGTTTTGCAGAAAGGATTATTGTGTTTGGATGAGCAAAAAAGACGTAATTATACAAAAGTTTATTTTTGCCCATGCAATAACATAGTCTCCAGTATGTAGTTAAGTAGTGGCATCTTTCAAGTGTTGCTAATTATTTCCAGGATTCCACATAATTTCACAGGTAGACTGTTGTCATGCATTACATGTTGTAAGATCACGTTACAGTGCAACTAAACCTAATTTCTGTGAAATGTTAATGCAGATGCAAAACAAGCCATTTCTAAATAAACCTTCAGAAAAAAGTGCATGCCATGTTTATATATAAAGTACTTATAAGAGGCCGCATGAGAACTATTCCTATAGCTACAATATTGCAGTGTGTAGAAAATCATAAGCAGTGAACTTAAATACCTAGAAGTATGTTATCTAGTTAGATATGTTTTTTTCTCCTTATGCAGTTAGAATGTTTTATTTTGATAGCCCATTATTCAAAATCTGGTTATTTTGAATTCTAGGCCTCCAAAAGTTCTGCACTTTTTGTGATAATAAAGTTAAAGGTTTGATTGGACAGTAATAATTTTTGTAAGCTGGACTAAATTTAATACTGTACTGCCATAGTACAATTTCTTCGCATAATAAATTCCTTCGTACCATTAGCAACGCCCATTTTTATGTAAGGAATGACATCTTACATAAAGTTAGAAAGTGTTGAGGAATTTCTGCATAAGATGAATGCAAACTTCTTTGACAGTGCAATTAATTGTTATCATTTGAATAACTTACAAGTTTTTTTAGCTACGAAGTTCCAGAAGAGGATAACACTTTATGTTCATACACGGCTTTCCTCACCGATGATTCTAACTTTCCCACCTAGCTTATTTCTTTGTATTTTGTATATTTTTTTGTAAACTGTGTAAATTTCACGTTTTATTTTTAGATGTAGTATCTCATGTTTATCTGTATATATGCACTACTTATATTGTATGTACCTTATTTTGAACTTCTTTATTTTATATAATTTCTGTTATGATTTACCCCACGCTGTGAAGCCGCTCCATTGTTTATTGTTTGCTTGCTCTCGCTTGCCTTGTGACGTATGGTCACCTCCCTCTTACCATTTTGAACCTCCTATTTATGCGGAAAGCTTATCTACATTTTGTGCGGTTATGCAATAAATTTACCGAGCCAGAAACATCGCGCTTCGGTGTGATATCGCAGCAATACTCGTCCAGAACGAATTAACAATAGTGCAATAAAATCATTGATACCTTTCCTAAGAAATTGCCTCAAATTAGCCACAGAGAGTGCTGACAATACATTTTCTAGCAATCACAAAATGATGCAATTCTGCATTGTTCCTGAGCAGGAGAGACGTCTCTGGTTGTTAGATATGGCCGCTTTGTTGTATGCATTTTGTGTACTTTAGGTAACATCGTGGACAGTACAACTGCAGTAGAAATTTTGCTTTAATCAAGGAGTTCAAATTAGATCATATGTTACTGTTCAGAATGCTGTGAGAAAAATCTTCAGGTGTATTGCTGGCGGGTATATATCTTAGAGATGGATTATAACAGCTATGTGGTTATTATGAATAATGTAGAAATTATTTAACTTTAATGCAGTTATATAATGGCTGATGTTCATGTCGCTGAAGAAGTAGATTGTTAGGCAAGACCTGGCTTTTGTCTTCATACAATTTTTGTGTTTTGTACAGATTTTTGGATTTTTCATAATGCATGTGGTAATTATGATCTGTTGTATCAGATGCATGCATATGCAAAGTACCATTTCTGGAAAGTTACCGATGGATTGATTGCAGATGTATTCCATAAAGTGGTATCATTCACTGTTTAAATCTGAACTGCATGTAGGTATCTTCTAGTGGCTCATCTCCAGAATTAGTACAACAGCTTATACATACACTCATTTAATGCATACACATATTTTTGACTTTATCAGATACCATGTCTGAAAACTATTTGCTTTGCGCTTTGTTCATTATGTGCATTTTTCTCTTGTAAAGCATAGCAGATTTCTCAGTGTATTTATACTATTCATTGCTAACTTGCACACTGTGGAAAAAAAAAAAGACAATTCTATATCTCCTATTCTACTGGGCTGATTGATGAAATTCAAATTGCATTTTTCGTGTCTCGAAAGCATGACTTAAAATATGTACAGTCAAAAGTCGTTAATACGGACACCCATAATCCGGAATGATCTATAATCCGGACCTCAAAGCTACAAACTTTCTGTGCATGTGTCGCGTTGACTCACGCGCATAGGCGTTTAGCAAAAGTATGTTTTGAAGTCCATTAAACAAAAAGTGGAATTGCTGCAAAAAATGGATAAAGGCATACCCTTTGTTTATCTAACCATTCTGAAATCTGTTTATCAATTTAACGCTGCTCTGCGTGTGTGTGTGGGGGGGGGAGAACGTCACGGCGCGCAATGAACTGGAAGTTGATCTGTCAGTACTATCCTTATCTTCAGGGCAGATGTTTTTATTTTATTTGGCTTATAATTCCTTACTAAGTGTAGTATTTCATCTCGATGTACTCCGTCTTTGATATGATTTAAATCAAATTCCTCATCATTATAATTCACTTCCGATAGCAAAGAAAGTGACACAGAGGTTATTTAAAACGAAAAAATTTCGATTGATAAATTAGTCGGTATTCTCGACACAGCAATTATAGGACTTGAACAGCGGAACTTTGTAACTGAACAAGAAATTATGTCTGTTTATAGAATTAAAGAGAAAGTACTATCACATAAAAAACGAAGCAACTTAAACAACTTGCATTGAAAGAAATGTTTAATAAAGTAAACAAATAAATATTAAGCTTTTTTTTTTTTTGTAAATATTGATACCTTTAGATCATAATTGTTCTTTATTTCATAAATTACGGTTTCATATTTTTAATTTTATAATTTCTGCATGCCATCTTACCAGATTTAAACTGATGATCTATAATCCTTACAAATCGATAATCCGGAATCGCCGAAGTCCCGACGAGTCCGGATTAACGACTTTTTACCATAGTAGATTTTTATATAGCTTTGTATTAATACAGGTATTTTGACACAAAATTGGACTTTTTCTGAAATGATATGCCAATTTTTTTCCATATTTCGGTTCTGTGACTCAAATTATGCCAAACTGCCAAGTTTTGTAAAAATCGCAGGAGTAGTTTTTAAAAATTAGCTGTAAAATTTTTAGCTCCTCAATGTTAATTGAATCTGATATATATTTATTAATATCTCTTTTTTTTTAAACTTGCTTGATTTATTCTTCCAGAATTCGAAATTTAGGCTTAATCCAAATATAATTCTCACATTTTTAATTATTAAAATTCTTATTTTTTATAAATTTTTCGAAATTTTTTTTATTATAACCTATAAAATTTTTAACATCATCTTAAAGTAGATGTATTTCTAGGCACACCTGCGAAAAAGTTAGAATTTTTTTATTAAAAATTTTCTAAGATATACATGAATTTACATATTGGAGCGTTTTGAAATTTAGCATTTTTTTTTTTTGGATGATAATAACGCCAAACGATAATATGTACTTTGTTAAACTTATTTGAAAGTATGAAGGATGACTTTTTTCCCACTCAGTTATAATGAAAAAAAGAAAAGGAAAATGGGTTTTTATAAATTAAGACACAATAACACACCGAATAAATACTAATTCAGAAGTCAAACAACAAAAATCGGCGTTATATTTACAAAACTTTCACAGGACTTATCCTATCTAATCATTATTTCCTATCATGTTCATTTGCGGTTTTGCAGCTGAGGATGGTGGTTCGGTAAAACCATCGAAACTAGTCCTGTGAAAGTTTTGTAAATATAACGCTGATTTTTGTTGTTTGACTTCTGAATTAATAAATTAAGAAGTTCGCCAAGAAAGTTATTCTTTGCAAAATCTGAAATGGGAAAAAATGCGCAAAAATGTTTTTTGAATTTTTCCATAAATTTCGCACCGAATTGTACAAAATTTAATATGTAGGCATAATTTGAGTCGTAGAATTGAAATATGGAAAAGATTTGGCATGTCATTTCAGAAAAAGTCCGATTTTGTGTCAAAATATTTATGTTAGAATGACACTATATATAAATTTAATATATATATTCTAAGTCGCGCTTTCGAGGCATGAAAAATGCAATTTGAATTACGTCAATCAGCCCAGTAGCGGGAGAACTGTCGCCCCTTTCTTTTTGGTGCAGTGTACATACTTAAAACATAAGAGAAAAGGAAATTTTGACTTTCTGCTAAGTATTTTTTCTAGCAATGTGACTGCATTTTTTTCTTCATTAGTGTGTTGCATTTAATATTTAAAATAGCAAATCAATTAATCATTCAGTTTGACAGTTAATTTTTTTTTTAAACTGGAAATACATTAACCTGTTTTCAGGAATTGATAATTCTTAAAATTAATTTAAGCATTTTTTTATTATTATTGCTGTATAGTAAAATATGGTTTTTATTTAGGTTGATGCTTTAGATTATTATGCTGAAGAGGAGCATGCCTTAGCCACTGCAGTTGATAGACAGAGATCTGTTTCTTTATTAAAACCAGTTGGAATTGCATTTGTTACATTAAAAACTGAAGAAATGGCTGAAAGGTATTTGCAAAAATTAAATTATGTTATTTAAGCCATTGTTTAAATTTGTATGTTGTAGCTGTTTTCTTTTGGCATTCTTTTATTAAGTTAAAATTGCTGAGATATTTGTTTTTGCATCAATATATATCTATTTGTATAAATGTTGTTGTTGGTTACAGATACACTGCACACACATACACCCCCCCAAAAAAAAGTGACAGTTCTATATCTCCCGTTCTACTGGGCTTGCATTTTTTATGTCTCAACTTGCGTTTTTTATGTCTCAAAAGCACAACTTAAGATATATATTACATTTATATATAGCATTCTTCTAATATAGGCATTTTGACCCAAAATCGGACTTTTTCTGAAATAACAATTTTTTTTTCCATATTTCAATTCTACGACTCAAATTATACCAAACTACCAAGTTTTGTAAAAATCGCACTAGGAGTTTTCAAAAAATTAGCTTAAAAAATTTTAGCTCCTCAATGTTAATTGAGTTTGGTATATATATATTAATCTGTCTTTTTTTTATTAAACTTATTTGATTCTTCTTTTCACATTCCGAAATTCAGATTCATTCCAAATAAAATTCACTGATTTTTTATGACATATTTTTAAAATTTGTATTTTTAAACAATTTGTATAAATTGTTTAAAAATTTTGAATTATAATCTATAAAATTTTTACCATTATCTTAAAGTACACGTATTTCTAAGCATACCTGCAAAAAATTACAGTTTTTTATTCAAAATTTCCGAAGATATACACGAATTTATATATTAGAACGTTTTAAATTTGGTATATTTGTTGAAAGCGATAAAACATCAAATGTGGTTTAGACGCTTTGCTAAAATTATTTGAAAGTAAGAATGATGTAACTTTTTTCTGTTTATGCACAATGTAACAAGATAAGAATGAGGTGCCTTTTTTTCCTCTCTGGCATAATAGAAGGGAAAGGAAAATTGGTTGCCATATGTTAAGAAGTGCGCCAAGTGAAATATTCTTGGTGCAAACAGAAAAAAATCACTCCAAGATACATTTTTGAATTTCTCCGTAAAGTTCACACCAAATTTTACAAAATTTAATATCTAGGCATAATTTGAGTCGTAGAATCGAAATACGGGAAAAAAATGTATATGCCATTTCAGGAAATGTCCAATTTTGTGTCAAAATACCTATGCTAGAACAGTGCTATATATAAATCTAATATATATCTTATGTCGCGTTTTCGAGACATGAAAAACACAATTTTAATTTTGTCAATCGGCCCAGTAGAATGTGAGATATAGAACTGTCCCTTTTTTGTGCAGTGTACATGTGTGATATAAATTACATTTTCGTGACAATCGGTTATTTATGGTTGATTTAATGTGCAGAGCATTGGATTGCTGGAATTGTGTTACATTTTTAACATTGTTTCATATTCAGATTATGAAGAAGTAGAAGATGTGTAACTTTCGATTGTAAAAACATTTCTGGTGTTATTAAAAGTGCTTCTTGATGCTTCAGTGTTATGTAGTTTATGGGTGATGTTTTCAAACAAAGGAGGAAATATTTTTAAACTTTGCATACTCTGCAGCACAGATCTAAATGCAGTAAATATTGACTTCAAAGAAGCTTGTTTCAGGAAGATAAAATACTATATTTTACAAGCATATGAATATAAAAAAATTTTTTCCTCAAATAGATTAAAATGCATCAAAGGCTAGTGAATTTTGCTGTTTTTTAAATAGACTTAAATCTTGGATTTCCTTGCATATAGAAAAAAAAAATTGTAATTGCTTTTCATTCTCTGAATATAAAATGATTAACAGAACCTCTTTTCATCTTGCTTGTTAACTTATTGCAGGTTAACTAATTTTCATTCTGTAACAGCTCGGGGCAGTTCAACAAACATTTAAAAAAAAATTAGATGTATTGCATCATCTGGAAAGTCACGCGTTATTTCAAACTGGTGTGCATTTCCTTCTCATGATTTCTCAACATGGAATGACCTTTATCAAAGCGGACATTTAAATATGGTCTTTTGCATAATTTTAGCATATTTTAAGGCATAATTGTTTCAGTGCTGTGCTAAGAATGCAGAATTGAAAAGTTCATTTTCATCATAATAAGGTTTTTTTATTTTCTAACAGGCGATATTGCTGGTTAGACTGCTCATAAAATATGTGCTATACAGGAACAGAGTGCTGTTTCTGAGGGTACAGTCCAGAGGTAGTTTCAGAAGCATGGAAGTTCTGTTCTCAAAGGTGATGCCCTCTTTTGGTGCCCATCCTCTGTATACAGGGACTCAAGTCCAAAAAATGAGTAGGCCAGGAATTCAGGAAACTTCTCATAATTACCCAATCATCTCTAAGGCAATTTCTTCACTTGTCGGCCAGTATTGTGTGTTGTTCTGTTTTGAAGACAGTACTTTCTAGAGATTTTTCTTGTGATGTTCGAATGATTAGCTGCGTCAAAAGCTTGCAGTGACAGGCACCCATGATGATGCACCTTTTAGAACCTTTGGGCATACTTTCTTCAAAAACAACATCAAGAATGAAGTCAGCAGTAAGACCACACTATACGGTCATTTATTCAGAGTGCAAAGCTGTTCTTGCACAGAATTGGTACTTGTAGTACCCTATATGCAACAGTTCAAAGTATTCAATGTTTTGTGTTTGGCAGAATACGCCATGTCTGACTACAGTGTTCTAAGGCCATACATTGTCAACGAAATTTCTCGTCGAAAAGAGGAAAGGAAAATCAGTGGGATAATGCAAGTCTTAAGGGTGCAGCATGGTACCATCTTTGCCTTTAAAAGATATGACCCCAGCTCCTTTTTTCTTTTGCTCTATGCCAGATGTATTTTAGAGCTTATTTGACTCTTCAACCTAATACAGTAGAATTCCAGAAATCCACAAAGCTTGGGACCAGAGGGTGTGCGGATTTCAGGACAGAGATAAAGCATAATATTCGGACTAAAAGTGCAAAATGAATAAGACATATTAGATACATTTAGTTAAATTATTATATAAATTATTGCAATAATTTATTATATGCATTAAATTATTATTACATATATAAATTGATTATATTATTCATTGTATTATGTATACAGCATCGAGGTTTGCCGATTTCACCTCATGCAAAGATTTCCGGTTTCGGATTCTGGTGTTAGAATCACTGTTCTGTAAAATTTCAACAGCTTTTCTTTATTTTTCCGTATATCATACACAATCCTGTTGCAATTTCATACTATTCTGCTATAAATCGAGGAGTAGCACCTGCTTCCATCATTTGCAGAATTTGCACTTTTTGCGTTAACCTCAATGCAACGTGTTTATGTTTTTCAACGTTTCAAGCAGTAAAATCATGAGTGCATTTCTTATCTGTCATTGTATTAAAAAGGGCTGAAATTTAAAATAGTCTTAATTTATCCACAAAATATCCGGATTAAAAACAGGCAGCATTAAACAATCTCATGAAATGAAATAACAAAGCTTAGAAAATACACCAACAGGGTGTGAATCGTGAACTTGAACAAAGAGTTGAGTGAATCGTCTTCTTTTTTACCTCGATGCAGATTAGAGAGGAACAAAGCTTATCTTATTTATTTTATCTTATTTTTTTAACTTTTTTATGTCAGTAATTTGGTATTTCCGTTTTGACTCATTGTTATTCGGTAATTATGACATCGTTATTAAGTATTCTTTCTTCAGGTCGGCGGATTTTCAGTATTTGATTGTACTTCTGATGATGGTATCCTTAGACATGAACTTTGAAAATGTTATCTCGTCAGACAACAAATTTGCTATTCAGCTGTCATTTTACAGAGCCATCCTGATTCTTAAAAAATACCAAACACAGTGTAAACTTATATTCTATCATACGGTTGAATATGTAGCAAAAAATGGCAATTTCGCTGACCCAAAAAGTGAGTTTAAAAGTCAAATATAAATGGGAATATTGCGAATGATTACTGGATGTTTTGGGTAGTCGTATACGAGAAGTACATGAAGGTAAGAGCAGAACTTTAAGATCAAGAGGTTCTCTGTTATTGATTGTTTTATTGTTTTTACTATATTTTGGTTACATATTTTTGTCCAGTGAATATTGTATTCTCATTAGTAGGTGAATTTTTCCTCTGTATAAAACATTATTGCTAAAAATAAAATAGTGTTCTTAGCAGTCCTTACAAGTGCTTTAAGTCCTTATATTTGAAAATAAAATATAAAGGCCCTTATAGGTGCGTACTTTTTCTTTAAAGCCCTTATTTTTTTGTTTTTAGTGCTTACTTTTTGCTTTTAGTGCTTTCTTTTTTAATGAGTATGCATTTTTTTCCCTATACGAAAGACAAAACTAAATAAACAATTTTTCTTCCTTATATGGAATGTCAGATGGTGAATCATACTCTCAGAAATAGATTTTCCCCCTTTATCTGCATGAACATAACCTTTGGTGAACACGAGAGTACAGACGGGTGCACGTCATTCTATTGGTCAAAGAGTTGTGAAAGCGGTAGAAAATTCCGGTACATTCAGTATTCTTTTCCTCCCACCCAAATACTACACACGTTTGAATTTCTTGCAAGATTTTAATAATTTGCATTCTTGTTTCACGCGGTCAGTTCATATTCACATTTATTATGAGCATATGTATGAATATTTATATTAATATATTTGCATTAACTGATGAAGTATAGATAAACTTCCAAAAATGTGCAAATGTGTTTTAACAGAGATTAGCTTACTAAGGAATAATATTCTTAATGGCTTAAATAAAAGGAAAGTGATCTAATAGTCAAAATAATTTCATTTTTTTTGCCAATACATTATACAGTTGAGAGTTTCTCCTCTTTCTCTGCAAAATCTTGGATATTGAAACCATTATAGTTCGCTGCAAAACAAGCAACGGACTTTATTTTTGGTCACTTTCCAATCTGGTTTGAATAGGACTAAAAGTTTTGCGGTCTACTAACCCAAGCAAAAAATGATTCTATTGCAGAAATTTAACACAGTCTGCTCAAAATTAGAATCAAAAACACTCCAGATAAGTAAGTCTGTTTCTTTTCCTTTATTTAGTTCTTTATTCAAATACCGGCAGCTGTTGATTCCGATTGCATAATATCACGCATGGAAGAATTACGATGCACATATTGCGCAACAATGTTTGTGATATTTTGCAGAAATAATTAATTTTGATGCTCATTCTGAGATTTGTTTATGAACACTTAAAAGAGTTTTACTGTGCTTGCTAAGCAGAATATTTTTCAGTTGCGTTGGTCTATTTTTATATGAACCACCTATGGAAATGTCAAAAGGAAAATCAAAGGACGTCTACAATCTACCCCCCCCACCCACCCACCCCCTCTCCTCATTTTCCAGTTACGTTTGACTATCCGGAATATTCAGCAATTTCCGAGTATGTGGGTTAGTTAAGCTTTTATTGTTAAAGGATGACTGCATGAAGCAATTTCCCATCTTCTGATTTCAGAAATGTTCCTCTTTTTTTTTACTTAAATTACTTTGCTTGCAATATCTGTTAAGGGAAAACTGTTATACAAGGAAAATTTAGAAAATGTTCAGTATTTTGATTTAAGTTAAATTATTAAATATTAATATGAGTGAAAAAATAAATTGTATTTATTATTAGGTGCCAAGCTAATACAATAAATATGGCTTATTATTTATTTTCTGTATTTTGAACTGAAATTGCATCAATAAATCTTGTAATATAGTTTAGTTCTGCATAGTTTTTTTTTTCCCCTTCTCAATGTAAACTAGTTCTGTAAATTGAACTGTTATTTAAAATTAAAAAAAAAAGGTAATTGTTTTCCATGGTTGAGGTAATGTTCATCATCTCTTAATAAATATTGCATTTCTCATATTTTAAATTACAAGTCTAATTTTTCTTTTAAGGTTATGCAGTTGTGTGTAATAAAATTAAACAAGTGCTTATTTATTTCATAAAATGTGCTTGAAAAGTACTTTTAGGTGCTTAGTTTTTTAACTAAAATGTGGCTGCGAACCCTGTAAAAAGTTTTTTATACAAATTGTATGAAAAGAATTCAAGTAGTTGATGCTGAGGCATTTCTTTTGCATTGTCTGCATTTGAAACAAAATTTTGATTTAAAACATAAATCTACCGTGATTACTTTGTGCATTCATGAATAATGTTTTTAACAGTAAAATACACTGCTCGACATTGAAAATGCAACACCAAGAAGGAGTGGTCAGAGAGTGATGAACTTTGGAAAAAAGACAGAGACAGCAAGCAGCAATGAGTGATCTTTATTTCAAAATGAGTCAGAATACAGAGCGAGAACGGTGTCGGCTCAGTAGGATGTAGGACCATCACGGACAGCGATGCACGAAGAAACACATCTAGGCATAAAAGTCAATCAGAGTGTGGATGGTGTCCTGAGGGATATCTCTCCATTCCCTTTTAACCATTTGCCACAGTTCGTCTTCTGAACGAGGCAGGGGCAGAGTCTGCAAACGGCGTCCAATCTCATCCCACACGTGTTTGATTGGTGACAGGTCAGGAGAATACGGTGGCCAGGGCAGCATCTGTATACCTTGCAGATCATGTTGGCAGATGCGAGCACTGTGTGGTCGGGCATTATCCTGCTGAAAAATTGCATTAGGCAGCCCCTGAAGGTAGGGGATTGCCACCTGCTGCAGTACATTATTCAAGTATCGTTGGATCATCATAGTTGCCTGAATTGAACTAGAGGTGACCTGGAATCGTACACAATAGCGCCTCAAACCATTATGTCACGTTCTTGTGCAGTGGGGCATTCCACAGTTACTGCCGGATTAGATCTATCTCCACGTCGACGCCACACACATATACGACGACTGTCACTGGACAAACAGAAGCGTGACTCATCTGAGAACATGACGTTTCGCCATTCTGTCATCTACATCGCTCCAGTCTGGCACCATTCCAAACGTTGGCATCTATGCTGTGGGGTCAATGGCAGTCTTCTTAATGGACGCCGTGAGTGCAGGCCACATTCAACCAATCGACGGGAAATGGTTCTGGTCGACACGGAACCATCCAGGGTATCTTGCACATGCTGCAGAATCACGGTACAAGTGACTGTGGGACCGCCACAGCTTGTCTGCGGATGCGTCGATCAACGCGTGCTGACGTCGCTCTGGCTGCACCTGCACCCCTCCTTCTTCCCACATTTCCTTGTTCCAACCATGTTCGCCATAGCGGATCCACCGTGCTCACATCCATGTAGGTATCAGCTGTGATTTGACGTAAGGACCAAACCCCCTTCTCAGTCCGATCACCCCTCATAAAATCGTCTTATCTGCTGGAAGTGCCTTCATTGATGGCGGCCCGGCATTCTCTCCTATAACACGTATCCTCTGGGACAAAAACCAACTTTCTTCGATAATTCGTCTGGCAGAAATAACGACATGAATATTGCCCATTCTGCACATTCCTTCCCTTATATCTTACTTCACGTGCGTCAGAGAGCTGCGCATTTTACATCCTTCGCATAACTCAGTGACAAGCGTCTACTCTAAAATTTGCATAAATTTCTGACCACTTTTTCTTGGTGTTGCATTTTCAATGTTGAGCAGTGTATTAGTATAATGTTTTGCTGGAAATATTATGCAAGTAAAACTTAATATTTAGTTAATTTGTGAAGTGAATTATGCATTACTCACTGCATAAATTTGCTTCAAATAGAATGTTGAATACATCTGAACCTCCATAGTAAAAACTAGTCATGCAAATTTATGAATGCTGGTTATTCTTGTTATTATGCTGATTATACTGATTCTTGCTGCTTTAACCTCACCAATAATCGTTATTCAGCGTGTTATTTTAACTCAAGTATAAATAAGTTGGATAAGTTTGAAATTTTATTTATATCTGTTTTTAGAGTGTATAAAGATCACCAAAAGCGTTGTCAGTGTTCTACCAGCCCACCATCTTCAAGTTATGCTCGTCAGTTAAATCCGTACAATTGGAATGTTGATTTTGCACCTCCACCTGAAGATATATTTTGGTACCTTTTTCAATAATTAATGCAACATTTATAGTTTGTAATTTGGTTATACTACATATTGTTTTTAGACAGCTGCAGTGCTAATTATTTTCCTCTTATTTTAGGGAAAATCTGAGTGTCAGTAAAAGTCTTTGGTATAGCAGAGCTTTTACTACTAATTTTGCTTTGTTTATTTTATTCTTCTTCTTAACAACACCTACAATTGTATTAAGTTACTTAGACGTCCTCTACACTCCTGCTGTGAAGAAAATTGTTAGAGAGGTTCGTAATAGAATTTTTACCGCATGTTGTATACAATTTTTTTGTTACGAATTTAATGCATGTGTGTGTGTATATATATACGCAAAACAAAATCTTATATACAAATATGTATATGTGCCTGTCGGATAAATTGGCAGAAATGTTTAATCTATAACTTCTGTTTAGTTTTATTTAGAATTTTCTGCTTGAGTTGAAATATATTTAGTATTTTCAGAAAGAGATTTTATGATTTTCTTTGTAATGTGCATGGAAATTTAATTGCTGTGTTAATATAAATAAACCTTCATAGCTTGAGCTCACTTTTTGTTGTTTTAGTGTATAATATTAAATTGTATCTGTTTAATATTTATGGTATATTTTAGACACCTGTGCTTAAAGATTTCTTCTCAACCCTGATGTTATTGCTGTTTTCATCTTTATTGCCTGTCATTGTTTCATACTCTGATAGATTCATGCCACATTGGACAAGGTATTCTTTTCACATGCATATTGCTTTGATTTGGTATATTAATTATATATCAATAGTTGTTAACATTAATTTTTATTTTAGGTCATCTCGTAATCATTCAAAAATGTTAAGAACTTTCATTTTCTTACTTTTTATGGTTGTCATCTTACCCCTGCTTCAGTTGACCAGGTATGAAAAGTAAATCTTTTTTTTATAAAAATTACCTAAATGTTATAAATTCTAATTAATGTAATGAAATTTAATGTTTTGCCATGTCCAGTAGTAAAAGTTAATGATTCTTGAATTATATTTTTATATCCTATTTGAAGTGAAATTCATGTGAAAATTTGATGGTATTCTTAAATGAATTTATTTTTTAAAGTTCTTTTCTGAATTATAGTCACATGGAAACCACATTAATTTAGTTTATGACTGCTTTGGTAATCTATTTAAATATATTCAATGAAACAAAATATATTCAATGAAACAATGTTGAAATATAGCATGTAGGAATAATGAAGAGGTGGTTAGAAACAGCATTTATTTTTAATGTGTCTCTTCAGACACATAAATTTGAATTTACTTTAAACCATTTTCTTTCAACTTGTCAAGCAGTCAGTTAAGTGATTATATGCTTTTTCACTGGAAAAGTAATATGTAGTTTAGTAATGGTACAAGGTGCACTCATAAAGTACTTATTAATGGACCAATTGATAAAATAAAAAGTGAAAGAATAAGTGTATGTTTATGGCATTTGAGCAGTTGTTAAAGCCAGTTTAAACTGGCTATTTTGTTGTCTGCATATCTCAATGCCAGAGCCATTTTCATATATTGAGAAGACATTGTATAAAAAAATTTGCTTTGAAATGGAATAACATTATAGCATTCAGTATTGTTACAAATTTGGTAAATCTCCTACCAAAATAGTACAGACAATTTTAACAGTATATGATGGTGCATCATTTTTATGAATACAAGTGTTTAAATGGTATAACTGCTGTAAATGTGGGCATAAAAGCATTGAAGATGAGCTAAAGATAGGGTGCCCTTTTCAACTCTAAAGAGTGAGGGAAATGTGGAGAATATTCGTTTTTTAGTAAAAGCTGATAGACATGTAACATCTCTGTAACTTTTAGACATGCTTGGAATAAGTAAAGAAAGTTGTAAGTTAATTTCAGTTGAAAATCTGAAAATGAGGCATGCTTGTGCTAGATTTGTGCCTCAGATTTTGACAGAACAGTAGAATGAAGAACAGTAAAATAGCTTGTTGTGAAGATTTGCCAGCTACTGTGAGACATGACAACAAGTTCTTAAAGTATATCACAGCAGGAAATGACACCTAGTGCCTACAATATGACCCAGAAACAAAAAGTTCACATTGGAAAGGACAGTCTCCCCCCCCCCCCCAAAGCGCAAGTGTTGAACTCAGACTAAAGTTATGAAGAAAGCATTTTTTGTTTACAGAGGTCTTAATCACCATGAATATATCCCTGAAAATCAATCAATCGGTATTTTTACAAAGGAGATTTTTACGAAATGCTTTTTTGAATAAGAAATGGTATTAAGTGAGTTAGGAAGGAACTTTTAGATTCTGTTCAATGGTTTCTGTCATACAGCAATGCTAGGCCCCTAGAGTATTGTTTGTATTGAATTTGATTTAAATCATGTCAAAGGAGTACATCGAGATGAAATACTACATTTAGTAAGGAATTATAAGCCAAATAAAATAAAAATATCCGCCCTGAAGATAAGGATAGTGCTGACAGATCAACTTCCAATTCATTGTGCGCCGCGGCGTTCCCCCCCTCCCCCGCCACAGAGCAGCGTGAAATTGATAAACAGATTTCGGAATGGTTAGAAAAACAAAGGATATGCCTTTATCCATTTTTTGCAGCAATTCCACTTTTTGTTTAATGGACTTCGAAACATACTTTCGCTTTGTCGATCCTTTACATATTAGTAAATATATATCAGAAATTCTATTTGACATAATCGAAAGTCCAAGCTTACTTTTATAAAATTGCTTAAAAGTCTGCAGAAAATAATAAGCCGGATCCAATTCGAAGATTAAAGAACAACGCAATCTGCAACATTAACTGAATTAGATAATTTTAGCTTAGCTTATACCGTCCGTTATACATTAAACGTGCATTCGTAAACGCATATTCACAGTCGTAAAGGTCTTACGCGCATGCGTAAACGCCTATGCGTGTGCGTCAATGCGACGCATGGGCAGAAAGTTTGTAGCTTTGAGGTGCGGATTATAGATCATTCCGGATTATGGGTGTCCGAATTAATGACTTTTGACTGTATTGTGAACTCCTTGAATTTATTTCCTTGCTTCTTCCTCTGTTGTTGTGTTCTACAACAAAAAAATTGGAATTTTTTTGTTTACTAAGCTTTTATTTCAAGCAGTAAAATAATTATATCTGTGGTCAGCACAATCGTCATCAAATTTAATTAACTTATGCCAGTGTATGTCAAATGTATAGATATTATGTGAGAAAAATTGGATGGGTGATCAACCACTCATGCAGTGCTAACTGAACCTCATTTGTTCCATTCAGAAGTATTGCTACCTCAAATATTGAGTGATGATGTCAGAAATGCTTAATCATCAGCCTTATGCTAAGGAGAAGCTCTTACAGTATCAACATATTATTTGTTTTTTGTGTTTATTGTTCACACACAACTTGCACACATTTCACAGTTCCTTATCATGAATGGTATGGTGTGTTGATCTAGCATTAATGACCAATAGTTATACATTTTCTTGTTTGTGATACACCAGTTTTCCCCTATTACATTTTTCTCAGTTACAGTGTTGTCGCCAATGATTGCTAAACATGCACATGGAGAATCCTCCGCATTGATGCAGATCTTTTTCTTTGGTGACTTGTCATCCTATGATGGGTCCTGGCCTTCTTTGAAATTTCATTCAGGGTTGTTTTATTCTTGATGTTAGTCTTCCAGTGGATGACTTAGTGTTGCAGGTCTTCATCATCTCAATCCATTCTTATGTAAAACTCACACATATGCTGCCATATGGAATTCTCCTCTGACAATGAATTTATAAGTTTCTTTCCTTTGCAAAGTAAAAATCAGACAGTGTTTCATTTTTTATTTCTTGGTGTGCTATTGCATGGTACTGCCTTCTTTTTAAGATGTTCCTATGCATTCTGTAGGCATTTAACACCATCTAGTAGTAACTCATGGTCTGTGCCCTGCATAGCTGTCACAAAAGCGATTTTGACCATACAGGCAGTTTTTCTGGTTTCTATGTATGACCTAATAACTCATATGGCTGTTAAAAGTGCCATTCTCTTATTTGCTCAGACCTTTTGTGCACGCATAATCACTGTTGACATATTTCAAGCAGTTAAAATAATTGTCTAGATAGCAGCTATGGAAAACCAGTTAGCAAGGAATTTTATTGTAATGTTTCTTTTCACAAAAAAGTGTGTATACTAATTGCCATCCCCTGCTGTTCTCTGATGTTTCATCTTTATGCATTTTGTGCATGGAAAACAAGTATTTAAAGTTTTGTCAGTTTTTCAGAATTAAAAAATGCTTACAAAATATAACTTTTCATTTTCCTCATGTTAAAAATTGTTGGATGTTTAAAGTATTTAAATTTTCTTTCCTTTGAAGTTTTGATGAGAAGTATTATTGTCATATAATCTTTAAATGATTCATTATATGGTAATCTTTTTTAAATAGTGCCTAATAATCTTGATTGCATATCACATGGGCTTACCAAGGACAAGCAGATAGTCAAGCAGATAGTTGGACAAGCAGATAGTCACTGAAGACTTACTTTTTTAAGTTCGTTATTTTGAGTCAAGTAGATTGAGGTTTCTTTATGATTTATGAGTTCCTATCAAATAAACTTGATGAATTATACAGAGTATCCAAATTATAGATTGAATTTCTACTCTGCTTTTAAGTAGCATGCATGTAACATACCACATTATGGCACACATTTGTGTGGTTTTACTTAGGAGTTGTTGTAAGTAGTCGTACTCTGCCCGTGGGCACAAATCAGTTCTTTCTAATGTATTTTGGAACATATTCTGAATTGGATGCTGAGTTAATGTTTGCAATTGCAGTTATGTTAATACTAAGTTCATTATGTCTTGAGGATTATTAAAAAGCACTGAATCCTTAAGTGCTTCCTGTGAGAATTTGTATGATGACAGCTCAAAGAATGAAGGTGGCGACTGTTCTTTACTCATGATATTTGATTTGGGGAAGAGCTGCAAAATTCTGTTCAAGGCATCTGCAGTATAAGCTGTTGCTCCATCTTCTTGCAAGTGATCACATAACAACTGTTCTTTAGTCATGTGATATCCATACTGAACATGCAGCCTGGAAAATTTATGAGAATTTCACAGTCTGAAATCGATGTTATTTATGTTCTTGCAAACAAAAATCATTTCTGCAGAAAACTACATAATAAGATGCAATTATTTAGTTGCCTTATCCAAAGAATTTCAGCATCGATTTTAAAATTTCAGAAATACTTTACAAAATCTGAAATCCAGCCTTTGTTGATTTTGGATTTTGAAATTTTCCAGATTTTAGATCATCAGTTTAAATCTGATAAGATGGATGACATACAGAAATTATAAAATTAAAAATGCAAAATGCTTGTTTTTGAAATAATGAAGAATGTTTTTGTTTCGATGGAGTCAAAATTTGAAAAAAAAATGCCTAATATTTGTTTGCTTTATTAAACATTTCTTTCAATAAGTTGTCTAAATTGTTTTGTTTTTTGTGATAATACTTTTTCTTTAATTTTATAGATCTACATAATTTCTTGTTCAGTTGTTACAATATTCCATTGTTCAAATAATGTAATTGCCTATAATTGCTGTGTCAAGAATTCCCATTAAATTGCCAGTTCAAATTTTTTCATTCTCAGCAGTCTTTCTTTCATTTTCTTTGCTATTGATAGTGATATTTCCTGAATTTAGTATCATACTGCAGATTTCACCACCCATTAGTTGATTGATTATTGAGGCATTGGCATTGCTGTGGAATAGTTCTATTATATCATCTTCATTTATTAGCATTTCTTTAAAAGTTCCATTTACTTGTATATTTCACTCTTTTCTTTTTTGCCCAATATTTGAAAACCTTCAAATTTGCAGGCATTGTCGAAAACCTTAGCTTATATCTGCTAGTTA